GCCAGCGGCTATAGAAGTTTCACCCCGACCATCTGGACGCTTGGTGTTCCAGCATCATGCTTTCTTAAATATATAACAAAAAACAGCTAATTCCGAACTCTATTTCTACAATAATACAGCAATACCCTAAATCATTTTTAATGATTTGATGATGATGATGATTAAGATGACGACGCCGTTTGTACGCCGGGTTTCATGGTGTCGCCGACTCTAGAGGTCCCGGGTTCGAATCCCTGTGGGGCAGATGTTTGTTTGATGAATACTAACATTTGTACTCCAGTCATGGATGTTTAATATGTATTTCTATATAAATATACTTACATATGTACAGTATAAATGTATTCTATCCGTTACCCTAGCATCCCATAACACAAGCCTTACAGTGCTTAAATGGGGCTAGGCTAATTGGTGTGAGTGTTGGAAATATTTATATATTTATATTAGAAAGAAACGCTGGCCTCGAGCGAGAAGCTCCTTTTTCCATTAAAATATTAAGTACTTATCTAATAATAATAATAAATAATATTTCTAACACTCACACCAATTAGCCTAGCCCCAAAGTAAGCACTATATGGCTTGTGTTATGGGATGCTAGGGTAACGGATAGAATACATAAACTGTACATATCTTTATATATATAATTCTTCTGTGAGTGTGTATGTCACTGAACTTCTCTTAAACGACTGGACCGATTTTGATGATATTTTTTGTGTGTGTTCAAGGGGATCTGAGAATGGTTTAGATTCACAATTTTGTCCGCTGGACAATGTTTTTTTTTTTTATTTTTTTTTATGGCGGTACGAAGTTCGCTGGGTCAGCTAGTATAAGTATATTTATATAGAAACAGATGTTAAACATCCATGACTGGAGTACAAATGTTCGTATTCATCACACAAACATCTGCCCCCACCGAGATTCGAACCCTGTTACACTTAATTCATAATAGACTCGAAATCTGCGTTAATTAAGACGTCTTCTTTACTGTTAAACGGCTCGCTACCCTGGCCGCGAATTAGTGGCAAATGAACCATAACATTGGCAGTGCGATCTAGACAATGGCAGACATCAGCAGTTGATGCGACCGACCCTAATTCCGTCTGCCTTGAACTTGCCAGTACCGTAAAGTGCTTTCCCGGTAAACTATTGTTTTAACGATTGTTTCCTATCGATGGTGCCTTCACCCTAGAGTTTTAGGAAGAAATGGCATTAAGGCGTTTTCGGAGTTCATTGTCTTCTGTGACTCGACTCATTGTGACAGGAGATGTCATATTTTTTTAACGTACATTGTCATTTTTATAATAATGAGTAAGGTGAATGAAACTTCCAGAGTAGGTATGAATAATAAAAACAAATTAGTGTCTTTTACAACTTGATATGACTAATGGACAATATTTGAATGTATAACGTTCTCTTCTTATTTCATATTTAGCAGCCATGGAAAATTAATAAATGTGATTCAGTCAGTGTAAGACTTTCTTAAAACAATAACATTAATCAATCATTAAAGCAATTGAAGCATTTCTTTCTTTCGCAAGCTTTCTTTTGGATGAAATCACATTTTTAAAATGGGTAATTTTTAGATATTCCTTGGGAACGCCCATGGAACTAATTAAAATGCAAAAAAAAATATGAAGCTTGTCTTATATGAAAGGGTCAATAAGTTCTCAGTAAAATTCAAATAGTTTTCGCAAGCCATAAAGATAGTTAGACAGAAAGTGCTTCAATATTGCCTAGTTTTTTTCTCATTATTTGGAAGCTTCTATATTATGAAATTAATTCTCGTTATATACATATATCATGAAGAGGAAAACTTTATTTCTGTATAGCAAGTAATCTCTGGAACTATTAAATGGACATTAAAACTCTATCACTACTAGATAACTATATCGAAAAGCAAAGGCTTTATTTTATCTCGTATATAGATTTAATACATGTAAAGTTAGGGTGTGTTGCTAGTAGCTTTATTATAAAACAACAAAAAACCCACAGCATTAGCAGAAATCAAAATTACATAAATTTGATCAAAGCCACGTACGTACCTTTAACTACTTGTCGAACTACAATTGACATAGCACCATAAGTATATCGAACTCGTGACTGCTATGTTTAATAACAAAATAACACATAATTGAATTAGATAAAGGAACAATAAAGAATTAGTTGTAGTGGTTGGTAAGGAATGTAGGTCGGTTGTAACGTTTCATTGCTTGACACATCCTTGGTCAAGTCACGCCGGCCCAGGGTTATATCGAATTCGCAGTATCAACCGATCCTTACTTGGATTATGTATATAAAACTTATAATTTTCTACGCGTTTCATTTGCTAAGTAAACACGTAAAGATGTCAATCTGTACTGAAAATACCTCATTGCTATTCAACTTAATATATAAGTTGGCGTTATGATTTCTTGCAAGGTTGCATGGCTTCAGAGATCTCAGCGTGATAATTAGAAATATCAGTACTGAATGAATTAACTTTGTCTTAAATTAAAATAATAATAGGAAAGCTTTCAGCTGAAAAGTAAGCTGCATTTATATAATTTATCATACACATTACAATGTTAAGTGTACATATAACCATTGACTACAAAATAGTAACTCCAATACCAAATTCAAAAACTTAAAACTTTTAACACAATATGCCGTATTGGTCTGTCTCGTTTCGTTTCAAGCAAAGAGTTGTATTATGTCAATTACCTACACCTCATTTCCGTGTCGCTGTTGCCGATCTATAATGAGAAACAGTGGGGGCGCCACTGACCACATGCGCTTTTGACACAGACTGGTGACTGCAAGGAGCCCAAGGCCTCCTCTCACTCGCTGGTGGCAGTTCGACGACCGTGCAAATAACAGAACAATTAAAAAGAACTAACCTAATATTCTTATCCGAAACCCGGCTATTAAAAATAATAGATTGTCAAAACTTAGACACCCCTAATTAACGACAAATCTATTAATTACGCACTTAAATGGCTGTCGAAACAACCCATTGTTGTGGTTGGTTACATTTACAAACGAATTAAAGTGATTAATCAAATTGTTTATTTGTAAACATTTTGTTGGCGGTCACAAAGCGTGACTGTCATTTCAAAATTTCTAAGAGTGAAATTGTTTTATTCATTTACAAGTTCTTACTTGATTTTGTTTTATTTTCGTTAAACAACGTGAAACAAAAATCTTTGAAACGAAATATTACTGAAGCGAGTAATGTCTTTGCTGTAGACTGAAAGCGACTGCGATTTCATTCGCCAGGAATGTCATTCTCATTGTAATTTCTTGTATTAGTTTATCTATTAGGAATCTTTTGTTCTAAAATTTTAGTTTGTGGGCTCTGCAGATCTAAAGATTAAGGTTACACGTGATTTGTAAGAAAAATAATCGAAGAAAGCTGCTGTAAACAATTTAATTTTACATAAACTCTAGTTGTTAGTAAATGTTTGACCTTAAACAGTAACTCACGTCTTTCTTATTGTCAAATTCGTCGCTTTGTCATTGCTAGTCTTAACCAGTGTAAGGGCAAGCAATAAGTAAAGAAACGGTAACCCTGTCTTCAGCATAAAAAATCACACTGACAAACGTTAGGGTCATACCTAATTCATTGTATAACCAATATATTTCTCAAATGGAACTTGACCTGAATATCCATTTTCTATAAACACACCATACTGTACTGAGGCCACGTCAAAATATACGTTTACTGAAACGTAATCACAGACCGACCGACGGACACGTACTCCATGCTATTGTTAAGTTACATAGATTAGACAAATTGTTACTTTTGTATCGTATATAATTGCCGTGTGCCATGCGCCTGTAGACGTCAGAGAGTAAATATTTTGGAATAACTAACGCCACCATTGACAGCTGTAACCTCCAAAAGTTTTTTCTTATATTGTAACACTTATATGTGTTTTTTTAGGTTCACACCCATTACCTACATTAATTGGGTTCCTGATTAAACCTAATGCTCCCATTTGTTTATATATATATTTAACGGTCGTCGGTAGTTATAAATTGTGATGATACCGCATCTAGGTATTTAGATCAAAGTCAAAAGAAAAAAGTAGGTACTATAACCAGATTAGAGGAATAAAATACCAGACCTGGCGGGGAGGGCACCTCCCCGCCAGGTCCAATCCATGTTTAGTGCATTACAAAATAAAGTGATAAAATGACTTTAATTTGTGTTCCACAAAATAGCAAGTTTATTTGTTTATAATAGAGAAGTTCGTTTACAATATCGAACTAGATGTAGAATGGCCGGACGTCGAAGATGAAATGTCATATTTGTCGAACAGACTACTTCCATATATCAGCAAAGGATGAAGGAACACTTCCATTCAATGTACTAGTTTTACTTTTCAATTTAAATTTTTTCTTCTATGCGAAATGCATAGACGAATAACTTTCATTGTACTTAGTCGAATTATTCAAACCATTCATCCATTAATTGTCACGTATTCAATGGAAAAGTTCACTTTAAAACGGTGTTTGAATCAAATAGAAATTTCCAATCGGCATACACATACAGGCGGGCCTAGTACGGGTCCGCTCATGAATGTCAATTGAGGAGCATTCTCAAGCCAATGCCAAGGAACAGTTTTAAGAAAACAATATTCTGATACAAAACGCCGTTCAAATACAAATGCAACACAAATTCCAATGTCGTCATTGTTCAATTTGTTACATGAGAACCAAACGACGAACTACTTTAATAAATACATTTAGATTTCATATAGAGACGTCTAGGACGCGCCAAACTAAAATATATGCCCATTGATATGACCAATGTTGACAATGAATGCCTGTATGCAAATTGATACTGTGGTTTTTCAACTCTTATAAAAATAATACGGTGACTATTTTAAATGGGGTTTTATTCACACTTTATACTAATAAAAATTTCTTGGACAAGATCCAAGCAATAAAAATCATTAGAATTTATGTACGACAACATTGAAGACTAATAAATACTCAAATACGTTTTATTTTCTTTACAGAATTGGCCTTTGCGGGTTTAACAATCCACACAGAGACCAGAAGACAGAAGAAGTGAAAAGACACATAGGGCAGGTGAGTTCATTATCTGTTAATGTAATTTTCAATAAAAATAGAATAAATTAAGGTCCTTCGTATTACGCTAACTGACGAAATCATGATAATATCCTAACAAATAATGGCAACAAAATGTACCTAAATCATTATTAATGTTAACCTTTGCAACGAATTTTTAAACTGATGACATCCATATTAAAAGAATTTTATTGATGAGGTCATGGCTACCTAGACAGATTCAACAAAACAGCTTCCCATCGGAAGAATTGTATTCAACTTTTTGTGACCATTACAATATGGTTTATTCTTAGTCTTTTGATAAGCCTGATGTGATACATCGCGTATTTTTTATAATTAGTCAAGCACACCCATTTTAAAATTAGTTATCTCAGCGACCATCATAACAATAAAAAAGTTTTGATTGATTACATTTAACTGGTTGCTAAAACTCGATTTGCGAATGTATTACCATTGTGTTCCTGAGATATTATCTACAATTAGTAAGATAATAGTCTTCATACTGACCAATTTTCACAACTTAAACAGTATAGAATAAAAAAAATGTGTCTAAAACACAATAGGTCATACGAAATCATTGAAACACGGAAGTGTTTAGGATCTAGGATCTCGTTACTCAATCAAACATGTGATGCTATTCGGTTCATTGAAAATAAAATCTGCAAACAATGGAATAAAATAGTTTTGACATTCAAATTAGATGCAGTAACAAGCTGTCTAATACAAGGTCAATACCACATACAATATAGTCAATATAAGATTACAGCTACCTAGTAAGAAACGTGATCCGAAAAACAACAGTTGCGTAACAGATTAATAAAAAACAGAAGAGGATTATATTGAGCCTAAATATCTCACGCAAATTTGCTAGTTATATAATAATATGTTAGTCAAATTTTTAATTTTAAAATTTCAGATTAAACCCCACCATATGAGTAGTAAATATGGATACGTACATAGACAAACATTCTATAGAGCGGGCAAAATTTTTTTGGTAGGGTTGACACAGGAGGATAAATTTAAATAAACGAAACGTTGGTCAGTGCATTCGCCCGGATTGCGAAGGGTGCGGGTTGGAGTCCCGTCTGCTGCCTGGTCCGCGTGGATTTTTTTCAAGTTATATTTTCTTTAAATTTAAACATCAAGCAGTTACATGCTTTAAAAAAGAAAACAAAATATATAACTAAACAAAACGTTTCAAATATATTTTGATTTAGTAAGTAGCTATGCATGTGAATATTACTAATATTAAGAAATCTTTATTTCTGAACCATGAAAAGAATACAATATAACAATTTAGCATAAAAACCGTAGTAGTCTAGGACTGTGTTACAGTTATTAGCGCTATTAGACCTTTGTCTCTGAAGGACTTTTTGCTCATGTGGCCCCACGACTAAGTACCATAACATTTTTGTATACATTACGGATCTGCAATAAGTACCGGAATCAACTTTAATTCTAAATATTTTATTTTAGAGTATATTATAAAAATTTAAACTTTAATAATATGGTATCAAGTCATTTGCACTGTTTTTCTCAATCTGACTCAAAATGTCCTCTGCCTTGGACTTATTTAAATCTGTATCAGGAAATAGTATATTACCATTGGACTTGGACTTAAAAAATGAGCTCATACACAACTGGAGGCTTAATGAGACCACTGTTCCATATACATTTTTATTAACCGTGTCTAATATTTGTGTTCTTGAATTACTGAAATAATATTATGTCTTACAACTGTATGAGGTCAGATATTGCCTTAGACGTACTTTAAATTACTTTAGGGAGGAGTTTGATTAGATACAAAGCAATTTTTCTCTACGCGTATATGGTATACCATCTGAGATTGAAACACACCGCATAGTTAATTTATTTTAATGTAAGTCAGACTCAAAAGAAAAAAATATGTCTTCATATGATTTATAGATATCAGTGTTACAATAGAAGCGGGTATTCTAAGCTTAAACTAGATTGTTATCCACGTTCCCCATCCCCAAGTACGCGACATAAACGGCGGTTTTTCATACCTTAAATTAGAAGTTTAATTTTTTCACAAATTCAAGGAACTGTTAACCTGGGTATATGGGTCCAATTTCAAATCGATATCTCTATGCGTTCGCGAGATCATGGGTCTTGACAGTTAAACAGATAGACGGAAAACATAGTAGTCCTATAATCCTGGGTTCTGTTTCTAGAGTATCATGCCAGAATTGGGTCCATTAGTGATTGTGATAGGAGGTCTGCAGTCCCAATGCACGCAGGGACAACCCCCCCCCCCCCCCATTGAGATGCCCCGGAGTATTAGGGGCATCGACATCCAGAGATATTGTGCAATGCGGGCCAGTCTCCTTCCCCCCCAGGGCAGACCCGCGGCTCTCACAGGAGTGGAAGGTAGAGCATAGTTCTCTCCATCCCTCTCCCGCCCCCCTTGGCCCTAAGAAGGGCCGTTTCAGCATCTTCCGCCAATTGAAGTGATCAGAGTCACTGTGGGACTGCTCCTACCCTGGACCTTTGAACAGTGTAGGGCTCCACCCTACCAGATGTTGTGACGGTGGAGTCCAGGCGCGCAGACAACTGGTGCAGCAGTTTAACCTTGCCCAAGCCACAATAAAAGAACGTGGTTTGTAATACAAAAAACAGTGAAGCATCGAGACCGTACATTAATTATATACGGCTCAACGGGCCGGCGGTATTTGAAACCGGGGCGCGACAATTAACTGGCGTTTCGTCAGCATGTGTGTCTGTCTTGTTGCTAAACTTCCCTCTTCCGGCCATCGACACGAACAATTATATTGTTATTAACGCTATTTATTAGTTTTTAAGGTTTAAGTAAATAAAATCATAATTCAGACAACGCATCCTGATAAGGATTCGAAAGGTCAATAAATAAATAAATCAGTGTATCTATACCGTTGAAACATGTTTTATAAAATGAGTGGTGTGAGTGAAAACCTAAGAAAGAACAGGTACATTATTTTGTTACGATGCACGATGAAATCGTACGATGACACGTACGATCGTTGCCAATTAGGACCACGATTTATATGATCACTTTGTTGTCCGTTTGTCCGTCTGACCAGAAACTATTACTCAGGAGCGCGTAGCGATGTCAAGTTAAAATTTAAAGCATATTATACCTACTCAGCTATTCTATAAGATACCATCTCACTTACGATCTCAGTTATTCGGAGTTTTGATAATTATCAAATAACTATAACTGGCTACGTCAACAGTTTTCGTGACATTTTGCCGAGTAATGGCGTAAACCATATCAAACTAATGTCAAAAATGGCATCTTCCGAATTCGAAAGTGAGATTTTATTACAAAGAATTGCACTGCAGGTCTACTGTCCCTTGAAGTTGTGAAAAAATCAATCTTGTATATTAACATTAATAAATCGGCCAAACATTTGGTCTCTAGTATGCCACAAAGGAAATGAAGATACATATATAGACTGTTAGACACTATAACCTGTTTGAGCGTCGCGCTTCGCGCTCTTGCGCAGTCGGGTAAAAATGATATGAACGTTATGTTAAGTGCCTACAAATTTGTACAGAACCCTCAGTGGGCGAGTCTGACTCGCACTGGTCCGGTTTTTTATCCCTAGCCTCTGCTCAGAATTCCATCTCGTCCAATCGGATATCTTCTTTTGTTTTAACATTTTCAACAAGTCAGTGCAAAAAAAATTAAGTTTAACGTATGATCTCTACTACTTCTGACTTATGATTATATATAATACGTTTAACGTTAATAAATTATGTCAGCTTACAACTGGAAGAATATTTAGTGATAGATATGCAAATGAAAACACTGTCGGCCCCCCTGGGAGGTGTTAGTCTATCTATATGACAAGGCCGATGTGTCAAGAAAACAAAGGTTACCTGTCAGAGCTGCATTAGTTTTATAAGAAGATACAGTTACATCTACATTTCGGTTGTTATTAAAGAAACGTTATCCATCATATTATTGGCAGTTCGTTTGGATATATAAAAACTGTTATTTGTATATTTAGTATCATAATATTCATATTTTGTAGATGTGGTAGGTACCTTCGTAAACTATTGTAGGCATAGTTACATCTCATACCACAAGATGAATTAAGAAAACAAACCTGTTACTAAACAAACAAAAACCCTAAGCGGAGGAAAAGAAAATACCTACCTAAATCAACGACGAAATCTAATTTCGAATTTAATGCAGTTTTTATATTGCTTTGGAAAAGTGCCTGACTGAGGACTCAAATCGATATAGAAAAAATTAATTCAAAATTTAACCCTTGGTAAATTCAACAGGGCCATCCACACAATAATTTAAAGTAACTGATTAGTTTTTTTTTATAAGTTGAAGTCGATTTTTAAATAGAATGAAAAAAGAAACTAATCTTTCAATGCTACCAACCTAACTAATGAAGTTTAACAGTTACGTTGACATCAAGCGGTTCGGTATCATAGACAAAACAGCTGTCCTACGTGTGTCAGTAGTATGAGTGTCAATGTCAGAGGTACAGCAACGCCCTGCCCAAAAACAAACACTACAATCGAAAAAACTACTTTAAGCTTAAATACATAAATAAACAAAACTAAAAACCTGTCAAATTATTTTATTATTTAGATCAATAAGTAACCAAATTGTAAGTTACCTAAAAATAAACTTTTATTAAGTAAGTAAATGTAAAATAAGATAAAATTTTTGTAAGATAATAGAGACAAGAAAAATGAAATTGAAATCATTTACAAGTACATAAGTTACACCTTCTGTGATTAGTCATGAGAAATTAGTTCCCATAAATAATAATGATAACAATAGTCATACTTTGACATGCACTGAACCAAACCCCAAACCTTAAGGTCGCTGATGTCATAGGTCAGGTGATCATTGGAACTTATTCTATTGTTGAGTGGTTCTGTCATGTCGTTAATCAAAATAAGACAAATGGCTTGGAGTCAATAAAAACTGTACCGTCTTGAGGTAATGACCTTGTATTTATTATGTTAACAGCAAACGACATGGTTATGATGTCATAGCCGACGTAACTGTATTTGACAAAATCGTTGCACGAGGTGATTGTCCTACCATTGTGGAACTAGAAATACTACAAATCCTTGACGTTTCCATAACTATCGTTAAAGTGGACAATTGCATATATGTGTTTACACTTACAGACAAACTGAACAGAATAGGTAATATTTAAAATGTAAATTATACTTACTTCGTAGTAAACAATCACTGTGATACGGTTCTCAATAAAATAGGTCTCTTGACAAACATTTTACTATTGTAACAAAATGTGTAAAATCTAATTATGTTATTTTATTTCTCTAGGGTGTCAAAATAAAAATGGACGACGCCGGTAACATACTCATCAGGCGCTACTCTAAGAGTAGTGTATTTGCGAAGAGTACAGCAGCAACTGCCAACGAGGAGACAGCTATAGGACAGGACATACTGAAACTGCCTGGCTATTCGCTGGAACAGGAAAAAATATTTAAGGTAAGCATTTTAGAAAATAATGAGAAGAATTCGATGAATGGGAATGGTGTTGTTGCATTGAACAATTCATTAAGGAATGTCTTATTAATATGCCTATCACTGATTGTACATTACAATGATATTACATATACAGTATATTATAATTATGACAATATGTGATTATAATTAAAACAATGAATCGCATATCTTCCAATATGATGCTCATAAAAACCTTTTCGAGTTATCAATAAGTACTTTTACTTCCTTCGAACTATTAATGAAAAATTTCAATTACCTTTCTATTTAATCGAATGTTTCCAAATCTAACATAAATTCACATTGATTCTCTTTCATCATGTTTAACTTTACTGACTACAGTTTGGTTATATTGAATACGCATTATTCCAATAGCCAGTCGGTTTAATATTCTCAAAGCTTGCCTACTAAATTAATGTTTGCCTGTAATCATTTCCGTTGAAATGAGAACATCTTTGAAGTTAGATGTCGAAACTTGCTTCTATTAATTTTATGGTTCTCGAAATTATATATCGACATAGTTCTTATTGAATCCACTCCGCAATCAAACATTCGTATAAATTTAGGGTAGGTGTTTTTGATAAAGTAAACTGAACAACGGAATAAATGTTAAAATTCGTAATAAATATACATTTTGAAAAGGCTGTGATGTCTGTTTACTATTTGTTTACTAAAGATTAGCACCCACTTATCCGCTCTAGGTCCACGTGGTCCACTAGGTCAATAAAAAAGCTAAATTTATTTAATAATTAAAATAAAAAGCTTATTAACAGAATTATAGACTACTGAACTTGTTTTTTTCTTTTCAGTTTTTATTTAAGTATAATAAAGCAGTCGGGTTTTTTAATTTTTTAAATTTAGTTTTCGCAAAAATGTGTGAAGTTAAATCAAGTCGTTACATTAATATTTAATGTATGTACATTTTATAGTAACCTACCACTTATTCAATAATTTGTTAATACAAAATGTACATTTTGGAAATAGATATTAAATAATATTTTAGTTTTGATTCACTATTTTAGCGGTAATGGCTTACACATTAAAAATGGATATATGGTGTCACGGACTTTTTTTGTAGAACTATTTAAAAGATACATTTTCCCTCAACATTACATTCATGTAGCTTTTATTGTTTTTGCAGTGCAGGCCAAAATGGCTCGCAGATGGGAGATTTTTTCCGTCTTATGTGACACTTATTGTTATATTTTGGCCAATTCACTCAATAACAACATAAATAATTATATATATGTTACTATCATATATGAGCTATATTACTGTTAAGTTTCATTAAAATCCATTCAGTATTTTTTAGGTGAAAGAGTAACAAAGATCCATACAAACGTAAGATTGAAATTGCGCAAGTGATTAATATACAACTTTAAAGCGTTGTAGATCCTAAACAATCATATAAAATGAAAAATGGTGTTAGGAACCTCAACATGATTTTCGATTATCTAGACAGTACTCGACATATTTTGTCAACTTATTATTTTTACTTCGTCACAATATGGCGCCTAATTTTGCCCATATTGAATTTTGATTACTATCATATCTTTAGTAGCACTCCCATGATTGAAACGAATCGATTGATGTATGAATCATCAAAATCGGTCCAGGCGTTTAGTCTCTAGTGTGCCACAAAGGAACAAACATACATATATAGACTGTTAAACACTATACCCTGTCTGAGCGTCGCGCTTCGCGCTCTTGCATTGCGCAGTCGGGTAAAAAGCTTCCGTCCTCCGTATTCCATCTGTGCGCCAATACTGAGGGCCACAATACACTGACAGAAGATTAGAAGAAAAGAAATTAAAAAATGTACCACAATAAACTTACTTTTATTAACATGCATTGCGATCGGTGCTATATAATTTATCTCTAAAGTGCATTATGATCTCGATGCTAATGATCACAACCACCTTTGCATTGCACCATACTTTTCTAATATATACCATTTCATGTTACATAATTTCCTTCCCTTGGTCATTATTGAAACAAAGATTAGTGAGGAAAAATTTAAAAGGCCGCACATTACTCTAATGTGCACTGCATTGTGTTGCATCGGTCATTTGGAGCGCATCACGACTTCTAAGCACGCTTTAAGATGACCGTGACATTGTGTAATGTCTTTATAGACACAGCATTGCTCAGTTCTATTGTTCGAACCTTTACAAATCGTTTTAGCGAATCATATTTCCCCATTAAGACAATCAAAGGCGATATAAACATTTTGCAATAAAAAAAGGCTGTCTGTACGCAATCACTGACGTTCGCTAATTAAAACAAGCAAATCAGCAAAACGATAATATGTCCGAAACAGGGACGGGTTATCGAACAATAGCAGATTCACTTCCTAGTGAACCAGGTGAAGATACATCACTGGTTCATACACCATTACCTACACGGATTTACGTAAGTTAGTTGCAGAACAATGAGAGGAGATAGTAGCGTTAAGCAAGGAAAAGAATGGTCATTGCCTCATTTATTTGTTTGGCGCTATATTTCCTTGGGAGCAATGAAAGTGAATTAGCAAAAAGTAAATAGATTTTAAGACGGTTTTTACCAAAGAATGGATGTGATATACCTAGCAATAACTTCACTAGGTTTCAATAAGAGTACAATCTTGTTTTCTATTGTTATAATTAGTCTTTTTATTATATGACGTGATCTTATTTAGTATTTCACTCAGCGATAAAGTCGATTGTGCAAAATCTTTTTTTATAAAATTTTCTTTTAACAATAGGTATAACATTATGAAATATTTGGTACCTGAGATTTTTTCTGTGCGATTCGTTTAGGTTCCCACACCGAATTCCCTTGTGACTAAGTTTAATAAGATGGTCACAATGTTATCGTCGTGTGTCGTGTCAGCTTTAAGTGATTTTCCAACGGTCTTGTACTGTATATAGGAATGTAGAAACACTAGCCTACCCGCTATGTTAAATTTTTAACACAATTCATCATTCACTAAGACCCAATTAACCGGAGAAGTCACTGTTTCAAAACACAATGGCGCCACAACAAACATTCCAGCAATAATTAAGATTCTCAAAAACGCATCAACACACGTACCATGAAGGCCGTGCGATGAGTTAAGAACATCGTAGGCGGCGACTTTTTGTAGATAGCATCGAATCTTGTAGATGTCTGCCGTCAGACAGAACATCTTGATGCAAGACCTCAGAGACGTCTCAAAAGTGCACCGGTTATGTAACAACTTCATAAGCCTCATTCAATTTCGTCGATGCAGCTGACTCGGCACTTTTGGTTTTGTTTGTCCAGCCTCCACCTATTAAACAACAAACACAATCTTTATTATTGGACTGGAACATAGCCAAAGGCTTTTTATTGATGCAACAAAAACTATGGACGTCACGAAAAAAAACTAATCAATTCAAACAATTAGCGTTGTGAGTTTTTAGTATGATTAAGTTTTGGAACGGATAATTTAAAAACGCTTTGCGTCATCTAATTTTGGTGGCGCATACGCGCCCAGCGCATCGTCGGAATCCAGTCGGATGAACGGACGATTGGCTTTTGATAATCGAGTAGAGCATTGTTGTGTAATATTAATACGATATCATCTCGGAATACATTGATTCCATTGTTCGATTATTTGTTTAATAAATTATCACCAGAGTGATCAAATTGCTTGATTAAGATAACATATTTGTCTATAATAAGTTGTTATGCTTCTTTATTCAGAATTTTAAGAAAGTATATCTGGTACTATCCTAAAACCTTGTATTTTATTGTTGTATGCTCGATATTAAAGTCTTAAGCATTTTAATAAAAAAATAACAATCTGTAATTATTGTTATGTATTACTCGAGATTGCAAATAAACTTTAGAAATTCATAAAAAAAATTGTTCTGCAGCTATTCGATATGAAGAAATTCCAGTCAAACGTAAACCGTGAGCTGAGACGCGCGTATCCAGACCGCAGACGGCTGGAGACGCAGTGCCTGAGCGCTGTGGCCTTCGTCAAAAGTGAGGGGGACCTGCTGGACTGCCCCATCTGGGTGCTCGTCATCAACGTCGTGGCTATGGACATGCTCAAATCAAAACTGCCCCCAGGTAATTTCAACAATGTTACTAGGTAAATGTCAAGGATTTGAGAAATAATTAAGATCCATCCATACTAATAAATAATAATAAATGCGAAAGTGTGTCTGTCTGTTACATCTTCACGCATAACCCGCTGAACCGATTTAGATGAGAAATTGGTATAGAAGTACTTTGAGTTCCTGGAAAGGTCATAGGACAGATTTTCTCCAATAATTATATGAAGGGGTTGAAAAGTAGGATAGAAGTTTGTATAAGAAATCATTTTTTCCCAACACCCACTAGTGTTACTATAAGTATGTCAAGGATTTAAGAATTAATTAAGAATCAAAATATAACTCTTAAAATAAAAATTCGGATATCGATGTTGCATAATATACTTCAATTAAAGAGCTACTGCAATCCGATTCCACATAAATCAGACGAATCACCAATATCTTTCAACAAATAAAACCATATTAATGTTAGCACAGATTCGGCGCGTGAGTCCAAATCGTTCTTGTTATGTTATAGTGTCGTTAACAAAGACTTTAATTGCACTTTCAATTGACTATTAAGACAATTTAACTGTTTCACCTTCGGCTTAACAATATCCATTAAGAAATCAATCATTCCAACTTTAAACAATTATGATAGTTTAATGTCGGCCCGCCGCAAGGGACTTGTGTCCGGTTGTCACGTCATTTAACCTTGGCTTAACTGTCATTGAGTTACTTTCGGTACGCATTACCTACTATTTTAAACCTTATCCCCCTTATTAATAAACAAAGATTAAGCGTGGAATAGTTACTCTATTAATTCTATCTAATTCTTATTTAATTTTTTAAGCATTTAACTGCTAGGTGTTTAAATGTAAAGAAAAGTTCTAATAGAAAAAAATCCACGCGAACCAGGCAGCAGACGGGACTCGAACCCGCACCCTTCGCAATCCGGGCGAATGCACTGACCAATTATGCTGCCGCGGCCCTGATGGCCGCGTCGAATATCATAATTGCCGTGGGAGCATAATTGGTCAGTGCATTCGCCCGGATTGCGAAGGGTGCGGGTTCGAGTCCCGTCTGCTGCCTGGTCCGCGTGAATTTTTTTCTATTAAAACTTTTATTAAGTTTCTCTATGTTTTGTCTCTGTTCATTGAATGTCAAATGTCACTTGAGTGACATGAACAAAACACGGCGTAACTTGTCTAAGCTTATTCTTTGTTTATTAATAAAGTGGGTATAAGTTGAGTGAGACTTTTGTAACACAGCTTATTATACCAGTCTAAGGATAAATTTGATATCATTGCTAGTAACTTTATTTTCTTGCATATAAAAAAACCGCAATGCATGTGTATCTTTAAAATTATAAATCACTGATGAAAACATCACTGACCACCGATGCTTGTTGATAAGATCTCAATTTTTCAATAACAATAATAATTACAATGTGCACTACATTCTAAAGATTAACGAAAAAATCTCTAGCAATATAACAAAAGCTTCACTTCAATAATAATACCCGACTTATTTTCCGACGACTTCGATCAGTGTTGTATAAAACATAAGCAGGAAACAAAATAACGATTTCCTTTTAAAATTTTGGATTATAATGACTCGAAAAAGTTAGTTTGGCCCAATTTGGAGTTTAAAAGCCAAGGGACACACGCCCCATTACATTACAAAATGATGATGATTCGGGTCTTTCTGACCAACTTTGTGAAAGTTTGTGGTCGCTTAAAATATACCAAAACTGTTCACAGATTGTAAAAATTCATTTTTCAAAGGAAACACGCTGATGAAATCGGTCATTTTAGGGTTCCGTAGTCCGGACAAGGAATCCCTATAGTTTACTTGGCCTGTTTTTTTTTAATTAAAGTAGTCCAGACATTTCAATTAACTGTAACTTTATGATATAATTTTATCAGATGATATAATTAAAGGAGGAATTTCAAAAATTAAATAATGTTAACTAAATGATGTTTTAACTGCGCACCTACAATATGAGTGTAAACATTATATTAAATTGTGTTTGTATGAATCGTTTGTTCTTTAATATACATTACTTCATAATTCAAATAAAAAACGGAAACATCCGTGCTAAAAACTACTATTGATATCATCTTTTCAAGTTCAAAGCAACACAGTTAAATGTTATTCAGTAACATGCATTTGTTTGTATAAGTGCCTTCTTTATCATTACAAATTTTTATTTTAGTATTTGGTATCATATGAGATTAGTTTAGGCATTTATTATATAAAATGCATGGTGCATGACATTTTAAATATAAGAGAGACGTTTCCCTCGTCGCCGGTTTATAATTAGCCGGTTTTGTTTGAAATTCGTCCAATTTCAAATTACAAAGCTTCCGGAGTGACACTTATCAACACGTCCTTAGGTCTACATTTTGGTATTAAAGATCTTTTTATTCGATTAGGGAGTACAAACATGAAAACTTAAATAACCATTTAATGAAATTAATAAAACAATTTTGGGTGATTACTAACTTTTTTTTCGCCCATCAGATAGATTACACTATTCTGCAAAAAAAAAAATTTTGCATTCCTTATTATTGTGCACGATTTTATAGCTGTGATATTTCTCAACAGAAACTGTGTTTTCAAAAATTTGTATCACTTTTTGTGAGGGTTTTTTTAAGATAATACTTTTTGTTCGAAAAATCACTGATCGTTTTAATAATTAGGATAAAATATTACATGTCACACTAAAATCATAAGACAATGTTATTACATATTGTTTCTATCATTTTACTGAGTAGTTTTTTTATCTTTTTACAATTTCTACTGGAGTTTCGTGACGAATCGACCAACAAAAATCGGCAAGCATTGCTTCCGGACATTTTCCGTAGTAGCGCCTCTCGATATGCGATATGTCCTAATGAAATCTTTTACCGTGTTCATCAGATACCCCTCCAAATTTTTCGGGAAAGAAATCTATTTTTTTTAACTTAGAAGCGACGAGCTTTGACGCGCTTTATCTTTGTTATTTTTTGGTTAATTGGCAAAAGAAAAAATAAGTGTCCAAAAATAAGTTCACTATTTTCTGATATGTAACTGACGGACTAAATACAATTTCATTTTCTTTACATCGTCATCATCCCTATCAGTTTTTCCTCGAATATTTATTGCAATTATCGATGTTCACAATTATAAATAGTTAGAATTTATATTTCACTTTTGAAGCATTTGACTGCTAGATGTTTAAAATTTTTATTAGAGAAAATAATCCACGTGGACCACGCAGCAGAAGGGACGACTCTCTTTTTCCTAGTAAAAAAATCTTTAGACTTAAGTTGTTAGTATATTACCAACCAATAACCATGAAGGTTGCTTAATAAGAAAGCGTTTGCGTGTGTCGATATCTTACTGTCAGTATTTGCTTTACTGTGATAGCATCTTAAGCGACCATCCACGACTCCCATGATTATGATCTATCGACAGTTTTTCTATGATTTGTTAGTTGGTACCTGATTTAATAGTATTAAACCTACGTTATTAATGTGATAAACTTGTTATTATATTTACAGAAGTAACAATGACGCCCAATTGCTAAGATTTCGTTGTTAATTTATAAGTTCAATTGCCGTTCATAGCGATTGTTATGTAGTTATGTTCATCATCAGCCTATTAATGTCCCCACTGCTGGGGCACAGGCCTTTCCTATGGATGGAATAGGAAGATTGGGCCATGACCCACCACACAGGCCCAGTGCGGATTGGTGGGTGCTAACGACTGCAGATGCAGCCGGGACCAACGGCTTAACGTGCCTACCGAAGCACAGAGGAGCTCGATATAGTATTTTTTTTACTGTACTTATGTGAAAATATATTAATTTTATTTTCTTCACCAAGCTAAGGTAAAAGTTAAATATTTTGAGGCGATATAACAGTGCCAGAATTATGTTATGTACTTATTTTCTTTCGCGTGTAAAAAAATAACAAATTAAATTACACTATAATTTGATTTTGAATCAGTATTCCATAAAGTTGACAAATAATTAAATAAATAATTTAAAAATAATAAAAAAATATTTCAATTACCGTTTACTAAAATCAATAAGTAGCACAACAATAAGGAAATAAGAATGTCCGAGAGGTACACTTTAGTAATGCGATTATGGACTTGAAATTGGGTGTTCACTTATTTAGGCTTTGACGAATCATACGAGTATGTTGTGCTTCCGCATTATTTAACATATTGACTTTACTTCTAGTAATTGGCCTATTACGTAAGTGTGTAGATAATTATGTTTCAAATAATAAAACGTAATGGAGTTTGAACGAGTTAGTAAAAGGTCATTGAAAAAATAACCCAAACCAAATCAATGTATCGCAGGCTATTACTGACAATTCATACAGAAAATTACAAATGCCAAATGTTTTCATAATGACAACATCTGAAAACGGCTGAAAGGAGAAAGTGAACGGCGACATACGAAAGCCAAGAAAAGCTAATAAAGTATAAGTACTATAGTTTTACATAAATTATTATTGAATAAACTGAATAAGTATACTGCACAGCAAACTATTAAACAATCGGACAAGATCCAGATACACGGAGCATCATTAGGCTTGACAATGGAGACGAAGCGATTTCGCACTGCCTAGGGCACCACAATGGTTAGAAAACGAGCGAGATCAGAGGCAAAATCACAAAACCCAACGCTAAAACGACGTGGACGCACAATACACGTCATACTGAATAAATTGCCTAACATCGGGCGAAGGGACAGAGAAACATCGCCACACTGAGCGGTTAACATCGTGGTTAACTGCATGCACTCTTTTATTTATCTGGAGACAGAAAAATAATTCATTATTCTATCACAGTATTTATTGTGACACGCCTACATGAATGCTTATCCATAACAACACCTGAATATTAAAAATGTCACACGTTTTAATATCGTTATTACCGATGACAGATTCTTGTGAGACCATCTTAATTTTAATAGATTTACAATTTAGTTTCCAAACAATTAAATTTCGTTTACTAGTTTTATATTTAATATTTATGTTGGCATTTTAAATATATAATCATTTAGTATGATATTTTTCTTAAAAATCCTATATGCTACATTTACCTTGTGCCAGACCTCAGTAGGAATCTCCCCTCATTACGAAGTCCAACAATAAACCGACCTCTAAAATTATCATTAGCACTAACGAATGCAAGAGATTCATTTTTTTTTTACAATAGACGATTCCCACGCGATAGAATAAATATATCGTCTGGTCAAAGTCATCCGTATTTTCAATAGCAAATCTGAACAGCTAAGATTCACAAAGATAAGCAGAGACTTCGTTATAGTAATCATGAACGCACAGTTCTTCATATATAAAACGCCTTCAAAATTAACCAAATTGTAAATGAATCAATTTCTTGCAATTAGCGAGTCATTTAGAACTACAACATTGTTGACTTTAAAAATAAATAAAAAATTACAATTCCTAAAACAGTCAACAAAAATATTTTATATGGAAGTACTTATGTAGATTGAACGACACATAAGTATTACACAAATGGGCAGAAACATCAATTTTGCGTTAATTGATGATAATTTTGTTTCTCCAATTTTGGATAGGATCATAAAAAATAAGTGACGAGCGGATAATTTAAAATGACCTGAAAACCAGGACTATAATGAGAGGTAATGAACTGATGATAATGCATAAGGACCAGCACATTGAACCCGTTTTTATTTCAAGGTTAATTCGCCAATGAAAGTCTAGGTACAAATTTCCGGGAGTCATATTGTATGCAACTGCAACTGACTCGACAGATGCGTTAAAATATAAATTCACCTTGCATCTTACCTACTAAACAAACAAAACATCTGTTTTCTATAAGCAAAAAACTCAAAATATTACGTATGTAATTAATTAGTTCATTATAATATTATAAGCGGTGATAATACTGATGATGGAGGTTTTATAAATTTTATTTTTTTAATATACTAGTTCTGATTACTTTTTTATTCAAATGTGAGTTAGTTTATCACTGAGATCATATTATGTAGATATTACTTTTCTATGTATTGTTTCTCAGGAGTCTCGTTTATTGTTGTGCAACAATGCAATTTCCCTTCAATCCCATCACGTATTGCACCTCATTTCACTCAACATAGAAATATTCTAATCTAAACCATATTGCCAACTTAACAACAATTCAAGATCCAATATTGGTTTTGTTCAAATCATGAGAAAGAAACCACATTGTGAGATTCCCGTGATTTTCCAGCTCGGATAAGATACGTTCCTAGATTTCCTGCAGTGGTTTCGCGGTCTAGTCACTGTTTATCGCTGGAAAGAACTAAAATAAATCTATTGCAAAACGAAGCTAATGTTTTCTGTGTAGAAATCGTGACACTTTACCGTGGGGACCAGTAAGCTCAGATATTAACCTAAACGATAGATACTTCGTGTCAAGCGCAAGCTTTATCATGGGCTTAGATATTTTCAACTGTATGAACTCAAGCTTCCGTATTCTATATTGAATAATTGCTACCCATTGAAGAAGTATTGATGCATTCTGTCGGCTACTCCCAGCATTAGTCATGATAAGATCGACAACGCTGATCCAATAAGTACTACCTATTAATTTACACTCTTATCAAATAAGAATCAGAAACATGTTAAGTTGATGCATTGTTAACACATTCAAAACAGAACCCATCGTATTCCGATTTCATAACGAAGGTCATGACATTATTATTCATGATTGATGTCATAACTAGATCAGCGGAACAATTGGATTTGCCTATACCTTACTCGTTTCTTAAGAACTTAGCTTTTTAAAATGACCAACAATTGGGGCTTCTAAAGAGCTCTGTGGATAAATCCGTGACTGTTGTTATGCAAAATGGCATGGGGCGATGCAATAAGGACGTTGTGATCGCAATACGAAAGCGTCCTTAATTATACACTATGTATCTGTAGTTAATAGAAAAATTGAAGCTATTTGCCTCCTTCGAGCTATGGTTAAGACAAACATGTGTCTAGTATTCTAGTGCGTCCACTTAATTCTTAGAGCACAGGTAGATAAACGCCATATGTTTGAATTTCAAATTAGCATTCTGGTCATTGGCTGAACTAATCTGGATTCTAACCCCGTTGCGGCACGGCGTCTGTGGTATTTGCACACGCAAATCTTTGTGACTCTTAGAGATGCTCCGACTGTTTATCACACAGAAGACTTGTCTCTATATAATATCAATTCTCGCATGTAACTTATTATTTTCGATGTCGGTTACTAAGCATTATATCTCCTTGAACGAAATCTCATCGGACTAAGCATTATATCTCCTTGAACGAAATCTCATCGGATCAAAAATTTAAAGTCAATATTTTAATTTCAAAACCTTGAACCTTATCGCCGCATTTTGATGCTATGGCTCACTCATTTTGCTTTAGGTTACTAAATCTTCCGCATATCAGATATTTGATTTTGTAGAAAACAATAACACTCGTTGTGATTTCATGCATCAATATATTGAACTTAGGTCAACTGCCAAATGAAAATTGAAATCTGAAATTGACATCAGCACGACTCAAAATCAGCCATACTCGTGCCTAAATAATTGTGCGTTAGTCATGTTATAATCCGATGTTTACAACCTTTGAAATGATTATCTCATCGTTTCCTAGTCTTTAACATTAAGAACATAAAAGTCGACCCTTAGCCGATCACTTGAAAGTTCAATTGTTCGAATTACACCGATAAAACTTATAGACTTATTAACTTAATAGTTACCTTTATTCTATTCATGCCACCGTATAGTGTGTGTGATGAATCAAAGGGGTCTCGTAATTAGGCGCATATTTAGTAATTGACGGTTGCTGCGCACTCTTGCGCTATTAATAATAGTTTTAGCTCCATCATTCATTTTAATAGATGCATCTCGACACATTTTCATAGATGAAGTTAAAACGCTGTGATGAAATTTTGATAAATCACCGCTTTTATTTTGTGCAGGAGATGTAAAATGTTTTAATGGCTTTTGTTAGGTTTATCAAACCAATGTATTTTTTGCTTCTGCATACTCTGTTATATTTGCTAATTCAATAATGGAATCTAAGCTTTTTAGTATTTTAATTCATATTAAACATTGTTTGACTTTAGTCTTTTAAAAATAACACCTGCGGATATTCCTGTGTCCTCTGGAGATTGCGTGTGAGCATTATCTCCATCCTTGTCCGTTTCTAATCCAGTTTCATCTGTTCCTACAATTAAAGTCGATGGAAGATGAAAATAATGATAGAAGGAATTGCAAACATTCAACAATTGCCGCATGGCTAATATCCATAGGTTGTCGAGTCGTGAAGGGGGCTGATTGCCGCTCGATCTGAACATCACGACAAACACTCATGTTGTGAAACCGTTTCTAAATGTTCCCAATTGTAAAATCGTTGAAGACACTTAGGTTGTAGTGATGGCTTGAATGCATCTTGAATGGGAGATTAGGTATACTCTTAAAGTGTAATTTGTTTTGTAATATGTTAATACGTAACTTGTGGTAGATTTTACATTGATACATACAAATTTTCAAAAACATTGTATATGTTAGTCAGTAGCTTTACTGTTTGTAATAATTATCAAAAAATACACCTTAGAAATAATTGTAATTTTCGAATTTGTCAAATAGGTATTTTATATAAAAAAAGGTTGTTACAATAAAATTATAAACCTCCAAAATAAGGAAGGCTCATAAGCAACGTAAAGATTATTATCTGTCTTATCAAACAAAATCAACTTCCCTAACTCATCACTTTTAAATTTTTCATTGTCTTAACCTCTAAAACCTTCTTTCGCAGTTCAAAGACCGATGGACATCAAGAACAGGCCTCGCATCCCGATCCCTGACGAGGACCCTTACAGCATCGCTAGCTCGAACGCCAATGGCTCCGGGTCCAGTGGGAGCTCTGGGGGCTACGGGCACGGCAACGGTCACAGCGTGGTGGCGGCCACCAGGGAACAGCTCATGATGCAGATGGGCCAGAGGCGGGGCGACAAACCACCCAAACTGCCCCCGAGGGAGAACGGCTATGGGCCCGCTGACATACCCAAGGTCAGTACTTATGAACTCGTGATGACATCCCTCATGCTCCGGGTCCATCGGGTACTTTTGTATTATTTGCTACAGGTTTCTACAGGAAACCCTCAACCAGGACCAAGTCCTCAGCCCTTTAGTAGTCGCACAAAGAGTATTACACAACCACTCGCAAATCATACCAAATATTTTTAATATATTAATGAATATATAAGTAAATAAACTATTTTAATATCAATGTGGTTAGTTAGTTCTATTATATTTTAAAGGAATGACATGATTTAATATCTAATTAAACAAAAATAAACTAAACCGAAATAGTTATTAAATAAAATAAAATAAATTAAGGTTTTTGACTTCAGTAAAAATCAAAGGTAATTTTGTAAAATCATACAAATAATAAATGTTTTTTGGCAATTTTCTTTTATGAAACTGTAAAAAACCTTTTCATAACATAAATTATCACAATGGGCAAATAATAATACACAAAAATATAAGTACATAAAATAAGCAACTTACCTCTTTCAAAAAAAGTGACGTAATTACTCGCACCGTGTCACCGCTCAAAAGCGCAGCGACTCATTCTTCAACTCATGTGATCAGGGCACTACTAGAATAGAGACTTCGACTTGGGTTAAGAAGCTAGCGGGGGCGCGGGGAAATTAAGGGCGTTTAACTCGAAACTAATTAGCTCACATGTAAGTAATTAATTCTCTAATTAAGACCAGGTGTAACCAGAACGCACTAGATGGTGGGTTTAAACACTACCCTTAGTTTTTAACAAATAATTAGACATCTTTAGAGTTGGTTATAATTTAAAGAATAGTCCGATATAACAATTTCAACAGTATCCTTAGTACGAGTTTGAGCTCACGAAAACTATCATAGTTTTCGTAATTGTAAATTATGTTTCTATGTCCATTTTGGTGAAAAGTAACCAATATACTTAAAATTTAAGAAGACGCAAATTATTTAATGATTGAATTTAAACACTGTTTATTTGTATTGAAACGAAAACAATAAAATCAGTACCTGCGAGCTCACGAATTATTGTTATATTACAGTTTTCGTAATTGTAAAACTCGTACTAAGGGTACAGTTATTCGTATTATATTTCGTGAATTGTTTCTAACCGTAGTCATTATTACTATATTATTGCTATCAAATGAAAGTTCAGAACTTTTTCAATTTTTGATCCCAGTTGTTCCAGTCTAAAACTAGAGAATTACCTAGATAAGTCTCAATTATGTATGATGCCACATACAATGAATTCATCGATATAAAAGAATATCGAACAAATCAAAATATTTGCTCATAACTAATTTACAAATATCAAATCAAAGAAACTCGCGCCCATCAAAATAATTCAATGACATTTGATTTACCTCACCTAATGTAATCTTGTTTCATGCAAGCCACATCTGATTCGATACACATCAGATGCGGTTTGTAGTAACCAAGTGATTTTGTTACAAGTGAAAATTGCATTGCAAATTACTTTAACACTATTAGGGCTACACATTAAGCAGAGAAAACTGTTGAGAACAAAAAAAACCGTCAAGGTTATAATATCGTTGCGATAATGATGAAATGTATTCGCATTTCGTATATAATGGCATAAGTTCCCTAAAAACAATAGAAATTTCAACAAGTTTGTCATATGAATCGACCAAATAGTGGCCGTTGCTTATCGAGTCTCGAATAGGGTATTTAACAAGTTTTAGAAAACGATCTCACGTTATTGACTAATGTTTATGAAGTCCGTAAAAGGTGGATATTCATCATTCTGTTGTGTATTTCAGTAAAAATAACCAAATCAAAAACTCCATTTTCAAGTTGCCGCGAAAACGTTTCTCTGAACAATATGGCGTTTTACTAGTGTGTGACGTCACACGACTGTTATTTAAACGTCAAACGATACAATGTAATGTCACTTTAACCGGAAGTTTACTTGCGTGTGACGTCATTTGAGGCTCCGCCAATCCCAAGCGTTTTAGGTCACGTGACAATAGATAAGAAAACTATTATCTTTTTCGTGGGTTTTAACTACAATTATGAATACTTTTTTTGTAAAAATATTAAAATCCCCTGCCAATATTTATTATCAACACAGATGCTTACAATTGGCACTTTATTTTTAATACAGTCAAATACCCTATTTAAAGATTAAAGCTTGTCGTTTTCCCCTCATCAAACTGTAAACGGCTGCAGTTGGTAGGCTTTTACGAATATACCGAAGCATTATCTTCTGCCACAAAGGCCAAAGCGTAGTTTTTTGTTTTTCGCAGTCACATGCATCTTTTTACACAGCAATTTGCGTTTCAATTTATTCCACTATAACCTAATTGATGTAATTTAAAAAATAATAACGCGCCGACTCTCGCACTATATAGCTTTTTTTATTTCAACAGCAAAATGCAATTTCGAAATGAAAAAATCGTCTAAATATAGTTACAAAGCAGCTAGTGGAAATGAGAAAGAGATACAGAATTATTTGAAGGTACATTTACGTACGGCTGTTTATAAGACAACGCCGTACCACTCTAAAAATTGAACTTGATTCGTAAATTATTATTGTTTTAAGCGAAATATGCAATCATAATATTGAATATAGCATTTGAATTGAATTTCGTAACGTCTGATAAATGTTATTTTCTCCCGGAAATTTGCTAAAAATGTTAGTACGATAATTTACCATTTTATAGGGAGAAAATATACCTACATGATACAATGTACGATAACTCTGTGCTTATGCAATCCTAAATCGCTAAGCAGTTTTGACGAATTTTGGCAAATAGGACATTAGAAAAGATATAGATACTTTTTATCCGAAATAACTACATTTGCTAGTATTTAATAAATAATAGGAAAATCTGTAACCTTTGATGCACCCATAACTCATAATCTCTGTAGTCTCTTGATAGAGATATGACTTAAAGCTATCCTCATCATCATCAGCTTAGTAATGAACCCACTGCTGGTACACAGGCCTTCCCTGGACGGAATACAGAGAAAGACGCATGATCCGTCACACTGACCCAGTTCAAATAAGTGTATGCTAACCTACAGAGGCAGCTGAACTCAACGGCTTAACGAGCCTTCGGAAGCACATAGTAGCTAAAGATATTACATTTTGGTCACCAATCCTAATGGCCGGCCATTACAAAAGTTGCTTAACTTCCGTGATCGGAGGCCGATAGCTCAGTATCGAGCTCCTCAGTCTTTTTGTGTGTTTTATTTATTAATTAATGTTTCACAGTATTGTTGTGCTGTAACTGGTAAATGATTCTAAGTATATCCTGAGCGCAAAAGAGTACCTGCGCACATTCAAGTTACACCTGCCGATAGAATACTGAAAACGAATTGACACACAAAAGACATTGTTCATTTGTTTTAAAATCAATATGTGGTGTCGAACGAATGATATTAAATAGGTGTCAATTGAGTATTAGTTAAATAGAACTATTCATATACAAGCGAGATAAAAATATATCTATATTACGACAGAAATACAATAGTTGTCTTTTTTTTAAGCATTTAACTGCTAGATGTTTAAATCTAAAGAAAAGTTTACTAGAAAAAAATATCCACGTGGACCAAGCACCATACGGGACTCGAACCCGCTAACTTTTCGCTATTATGCTACCGCGGCCCTGACGGCCGTGTCGAATTTTTCTCTTGCCTTAGGCTGCAAGACAGCGCCACCTCTTCGCATTGTAGGTAACCCACAATGTCAAAAGAATACCTTTACAAGTATTGAACATTTGAAAGAAGAAATATCAATTATAGTTATGTTTTTTTTAAGCATTTAACTGCTAGATGTTTAAATCTTAAGAAGAGTTTACTAGAAATACAATACTTTAATTAGTGTTAACAACAAACCTAATGGACAGCTAAATTATCTATAAAAAAACCCGTGAAGTCCGAATCGTGCTGACATTTAAAGGGCTCCGTTCCTTCTCACAAAGTTTAGTATTTTGAAAACAACGATTGTTAATGTCGAGTAAAAATGGTCTAAAAATCCCTTATTTGACTTTGTTTTAATTATTTGTTACTACAGAGGCTATTACTATTCCGGTACATCAGACACAGTTCACTAACCAACGATATTAATGCCGCTGACAGATAGACGATCCGACGGACGCTATATACTTTATACTAAATATAATTTTCTTCGTGATGCCAATGTGCCACGGAATGGTTTCATAATTACGCTCCATGTCATAACAATCTGATTAGAACAGGTTTAAGTATCTTAAATTTTGATCAGAAAGAGTCAACTTTGAATCGAGTTGATGACATTTATACTGAATGAATGTAAAATAATAGGTATTAGATAATACTTTTAACCTCAATAAGTTGGTGATTTATGCGATTATAATATTGACGTGGTGTCGATCGGTATTACTGAATCGAAACTAGTATGTCCTTTTAATAGTCAATTCTATAATAATGGTTCGTTACTTTATGTATATATGTATGTCGGTCGTAGCTTTCGGTTGAAAATTAATCGAGTTTGATGCTCGAGAATTTGAACTTATTTATAGTATGTTCGTAAAAGGTTTTAAAAATACTAATAATATTCTATACTTCAGAATAAATACTTAAAAATCAAAAAAAAGACTTTACAAGCTCCCGTAAACGATGGTTCATTAACTCTGTGTGTTATTAATTAAACTAAAAATAACTCAACTGTCTTTTGTGATACTTTTTAATATTGCGTTTTTTTATATTTAAAGTGTTATCGAATAAAAGAAAAAACAGTATGTAAGCAAAACAAAAAGTAAAAAAAAGCGTTGAAAAGATTTGTAGATTAATTTTGTGTTTGTTGCGAACAGTTCAAACAAAACAGATTTTTTAAGAAAAAATAAATAAATTATGGCCCCTAGTCATCAACATCAATCATCAACAGCCTATTAATTTCCCCACTGCTGAGGCACAGGCCTATGGATGGAATAGGGAGATTGGGCCATGACCCACCACGCGGGCCCAGTGCGGATTGGCGGGTACTAACGACTGCAGATGCAGACGGGACCAACGGCGTAACATGCCTTCCGAAGCACGGAGGAGCTCGAGATAATAAATTTTTGGTCACCCATCCAATGACCGACCACTGCGAAAGTTGCTTAACTTCAACGATCGCAGGCGTACGCGCTAACCACTTGCGCCATCGAGCTCCTCATGGCCCCTAGTAATAATCTAAAAGAAGCCTTAAGTAAAGCTCGAATGTCAAATAAAACATGACCACGTGATCTAGTTATCGCGCATAGTGTGAAAACGAAACGCGCCATTGTAAAAAGAGCACAATAAAGTTACTAATAATGTGTGTGGGCGAATTACAATCTTTTACAAGCAGGTAACACTCGATTGCAGCACGGGCGGCATTCATTTTATATACATAGCACACGGATCTTATCAAGCTGCCTAGCAAATTATGAACGCCACCTTGATTTCTTTGTATTTTTATTATTTTCGTTTTGCCTTTGTGTTTATGTGTAAAATAGTGAACGATGACACTAAAAAGGATGCACTTTGTTTCTACTTGTTCGTACCGCCTTTTATACAAAAACCTTGTCCTGTAAACAAAAAAAAATAAAAATGAAAAATAATTATCCAATTTGATGCAGGATTTCGAAAGTTACGACGATCGACATAATATTTTGATGTGATCAACGAAAATAAGAGTAGGTAACCGATTACCATATATGGTAACACTGAGCTATAGACGGTAGTTATAATAATGCCGCTTCCTATGAACTAAAAAAGTGTAAAGCTAAGTATAAAACTTATTGTTATAATTTATATTTTTTTAGCATGTAACTGATTGATGTTTATAACTATAATTGCTATTTCTTATTTCAAATGTTTAATACTTGTAAAAGTATTAATTAGACATTGTGGGTTACCTACAATGCGAAGAAATGGCGCTGCCTTGCAGCTTAAGAATGGCTAGAGAATTTTCGACGCGGCCGTCAGGGCCGTGGTAGCTTAATTGGTCTGTGCATTCACCCGGATAGCGAAGGCTGCGGGTTCGAGTCCCGTCTGCTGCCTGATCCGCGTGGATTTTTTTCTAGTTATATTTTCTTTAGATATAAAACTTATTGTAACTATATATCTATTCTATGTATATTATGTATTGGAAGGTGTCTTCAGAAGCATCTCTGAAGTAATTTTTCACCTGACGACTCTTTATATAATAATACAGGGAGAAAAAAACAGCCCTTGCTGAGTTTCTTACCAGTTCTTATCAGTGCAAGGTCTCCCGCCATAGTTTTGCGAACCGATGGCGTAGCTTCTCGACTTTCACAAGTGCTTGTAACAGCCTAGACTGAATAAAGGATTTTTGAGTTTGAGTTTGAGTTAATAGACGCTCGGTGTTACCATATTAAGTGATCGATTACCTACCTCTTATTTTCATTGCTTACAGAAAAAAATTATGATCATTGGCTCTAGTTAGTCATTAGTGCCTCTATTTATAAGAAGATAAATACAGCAATAATTTTTCTACTCCCTTAGAATAAAACAAAAAGTGTTACTCCCTGTGTACCAGCTCCAAATTGAAGCCCATATTTACAATTTATTTGAATTATTTGTAATTTTTTCCAGCCTGACTACGATGACATAGAGGAGAATGGGCGCGTACCCACACAATTCCCACGCGGAAAATCTGATAAGGGCAAAGATAACAAGAAATACGGTAAGTGCAGTTTTATTTTCAAAAAATTAATACATTTTACGTAGTTTTTATAAAAAATCGAACTCAGGTGGTGAGTTTATCAAACTAATATTATAAAGGCGGAAGTTGTGAGTGTTTGACTGTGTATGTTTGTTACTTCTTCACATCTTAACGGCTGGAGCGATTTTAATAAAATTTGCTATAGAGTTAGCTGTCACCCTGGATTAACACATAGGCTACGTTTTACTGCGGGAAAATATCCACAAAAAAACCAGCACAGCTAATATTCTATAATTATGTGACTGAAGCAACAGGATGTTGATAAGTGAAAAGTGAGTATATGGAAAAAAAAATGGGTGGTTTTATGAAACCGCATTTCAAGTGAAACTTTTAAAATGTTTTACATTGCATAATTTTTTCTGGCTTATAAAAAGTGTAAAATAAATATAAGTCCTAACCTCTATTGGAATTAAACTCGGACCGCCCGCGTAGCTGGCGAGCTTTCTACCACTGAACTACCGATGCTTGTTCATATGATCTGAATTTCAATAACAATTAAAAATGATATGCTCGACATACTAATATGAACGGAAAATAATTGCGGCAATGTAATAAAAGATTTACTTTATAATATTGAAAAATGTCACACACCTACTTCCAAATACCTCTACGTCTGATCTTGAGAGATGCAATAAATATTAATACCTAATACACAAATAATAATAAAAAGGTTATTTTCGTCAAATAGAAAAAATCTGTAGGTGCCTATTAAAAAAACAAGTACGTTTTGTTATAACAGGAATTGTACTCATGAATTCCCAGAATTTAAAAGGCTGTCGGTTATCATTCAGTTCTCGTGATATACGAATTGTTAGCTCTGCTATTCTGTATATCTAAGGTAACATTTAATGTGTCTAATTAACGATAATGTTACTCAACTTGGTCGTTTAATTAACAAACTTCGATTGAAACTAGGATTTGAAAAGACGATAAAGCGCCACGCAAAGTTGGAGCAAAAAAAAATCTTACACACAACCGACGCACAAGGCGACACTGGTCTTGTTGGTTAGCTTGTCTCAATAAATACTGAGCTTAATTACTGGGTGCCTTCTAAAACTATTCTACTAATGAGTCGTTTGAATTTTAAAACAGCTGAACTAGAACTCTGCAAATGTTTTTGGAAGAGATCGAAGGGTTAGGTACAGATAACTTCGTGAGATTGCAATGTTGTTTCGTAATGAGTAATATTATTCGAGAAATTCAATTCAATTAAGATTTTTTGATCAGACGAGCAATTGAAGGAGGCCAAGATCATACACTTTTCTGTAACAGCAATCTATATTAACGGTTGTAAAGAAAGCCACGTTATTTGAGAGTGTCTTAGGCTATATATTAGAACAAAATCTATAACCTACAAGCGAGGGCGGTCCACTAGTTTTAAACAATTTTAGAATCTATGCGTGACCGTAGCTGTATCACAACAAATAAAAAATAAGTATTAACCTTGCTAAAGTAAATTTTCATTTCAAAAAGATAGAAAAAATATAATTTTACCTTCTTCAAATAAGTAAATATACGCATTCAATTTAAACAAAAGACAACCGCGACCCCAACCCTGAATAAAATAAAAGGAACACGAATTTAAAAATATGTCACCCACATATACGCACCACAAAACAATCGCCACGTTAATTATTGTCAAACTAATAAATTTTCAAGTACAATTCGTACCGTTCCACTGGCACTGCGTAGTCAGTGTACTAAAGAAGCTGCGTATGCGCAACGAAAATGGCAGTGCCTATGCCTATATTTGGTCATTATAACCTCAATGGATCCGCCAAGACTTTTTAATTAACATTTTTTTCTCGTGACGACAAAGTATTCGGAATGTGACCTTTATGCTGAATGATGAAAACATTGAAATCATTTTTTATTAATACAATTACTTTGGAGAGTATTTGGTTTGGAACAGGCTGCTAATCTGTCGCAGTTCTGTCAATTTATAAGGATTATGTCACGATTTTTTAAAAGAAAGCTTAGTTATTTTACCACCTGATTTTAACTGTATTTACTTAATATGTGGATCTTATTTGTTAAAACAACTGATGCTGCGGAAAATTGCCACATAAGTATTTAAAAGATCATCAAAAAAGAGTAATTGATCCTTAAAAAATACAATTCGAAATCTAACCTAAAGGTCACCTATAAAACTAACTTATAGGTAACTATAAAACAGCCACTCTGTATCGCTATATCCCAGGAATAGTAGGTTGAGCTTAATGAAGTTTTTCCAGAAGAAATAAGATCATAGCGGAAATATCTTTGTTTTTAGATAAGTAATAGCTCATTCAAATTCAAAAAATTTGCAACCCAAGCTCTCAAAGTTTTACCTACATGTTTACGAATTATAAAATACAAGGGTTGAGCAATTCTTAGGTACTCCTTTCTCTCCATTTTATATCTTAAAGGACCCTTCACGTCAACATGAAAAATATACATGCAAAAAATCCACCTATGCTTTAAGTTTAAATCATGTTTGCTTACGCACTTTTAGCAGATATTTCGCAAGTATTAACGCCTTACCCGTGTTAACCTGGTGCTAGTGTTACAGTGACAGGGTTGACAGCCCATTGGATTTATTGCACCGAACTGAACACAGTCTAGCTAGTGCAATGTTGCCAGCCATTTCGCAATTTCCGCCTTTTACTCGGCGTTTAGTGTTTGAAACATGAACTTTTGATTATCTTTTATTTTTTATTAAAGAACTTTGAAATCTCCTTTTTTATAAATATATGTACCAACTCCTACTTATTTTTTCGATAAGGTTGCTTATGCTCAAAGATATCATGAAAACAAATTTCTATATCTATAACTTTAAACTAAATATTTTTTCCTTTTGTATTTCTTAGATTTAAGTCATTTAATAATTGATATTGAATAAAGATTTATTATTATTATTACTATTAGTAATGTATTATTATTATTACTAATAGTATAGTAAGCGAGCAGCTAAATGTACATAAAAAATAAGTAAAATCTAATGAAAATAAGAAAACATTTACTTTAAATAAAAACTTTTTACTACTGCATTTTACATTCAGTCATCTGACAACACCGACTGAACTCAAGTGTGAACATTATATCAATATCAGTGTCCCAGAGACACATCATCATTTATAAAATACTTCACAGGCATTGAGATTTACCGTCCCTGCTATTAAATATAGAGTCTTTAAGAACACCATGGACATACGCAACTGAAGAAGAGCTTTTAAGTGGTAAAGAGACAAAGGTTACATGCATTCAATAAAAAGTAAAAAAATAAAAAAGTTTTATTGTACTTACAAAGAAGGTTGAATGTTAATCGCATTTATGTAGGTTTTATCCGAAGATTTTATCTTTATCACCGCTATGGCACTAACGATATATGGACTTGAAATAAAATCATTGTATATCACAGATAGGCTTGCGTTTATTAATGAGTAGCCTTTTTCTTTGCCTGCGAGTTCGTGTACCAAGTTATCTTCTATCTATACTTATAATAAATCTGTAGAGATGTCAATTCTGTACATGAAATATATTTTTAAAATAACTATCAGGGGGTGATTAGTGATCGATACTGATACCAAAAATGCAATCAGTAAAATTTTTGTCTGTCTGTCTGTCTGTCTGTGTGTTTGTTCCTTATAGAAACAAAAACTACTCAACGGATTTTAACGAAACTTGGTACAATTATTCTTCATACTCCTGGGCAGGTTATAGTATACTTTTCATCACGCTACAATCAATAGGAGCAGAGTAGTGAAGGGAAATGTTGGGAAAACGGGAGAAGTTACTCCATTTTTTAAGCTTCCGTCGCGTGTGCAGCCTTAATGGTTAAAGTTACATAGAAATCATGTATGACGGAAATATTCTACATAAAATTGTCTAAAAAATATCCCGCAACAGCATATGTCTATCTTTTATGGTTGACTCACAATAACACGTGTAACTCCCGATAGCTTAGCATTTCGGAGCATTCTGATCATATTTGTTTACTCATACGTTTATAATACTCTGACTCATCCCTAATTTAAAAAAGTTAACATTATTACCTATTCAATAAAAAAAACATAGAAATCGGTATAGAAACACCAAACTTATACATGAAATAAGCCATCGCGCCGTCGCACGTGAATACTGAATCATGCTATAAGGATTATTTTTGTGTAACGGTTGCCGCGCTCGACACGGGTCGCGGCGGGGCGGTAGGGTATCAAAAGGCGGGAGGTCCGAGAGAGAGCTGTCTAAATCTGTTTTCTGCGTCGCTCCCCCCCTGGGGACGATCGCTTCCGATGAAGCCTTAGAGGCCTTCCCGGCTAGAGGCAGCCCCTACGGGTGTTTTTAGTCAGTATGAGTCTGACATAACCTTGCAACCGGCTGTAGGGTATCCATGAGGATTTCTCACCTGCTCCCCCGCCTGGGAGGAAATAAAAAAAAAGGGAGCGAGCGAGCTTCAATATTTGGCTGTTGATGCGTTCAGAGCGTTCGACCTTATTGACAGACAATAATTGATATTGAAAAACAATTCTTATCAGCGCGACTTTTAGTCTTTAAATAGTTTATTTGAATTTCTTTTGTTGTTATTTTGTAAAATAGGTATTAATTGTTTTGGTAGCGTTTAAATATTCGTTCAAATTAAAAATTATTAAGCGTAGATACTTTTATTAATTAAAGTAGTTATAAGTATTTATTTTTAAGTGAAGTAGGTATAGGTAGATAGTATTGCACAGGCGTTTCAGCTTTATTTTCATTTCTTTTTTGTTGTGGGTTGTATATATTTCTGGTTATAATTCTATAAGAATATTTTAGTTTAAATAGTCACTTAGATTTTAAGTGTAAGGTAGCTAAAGTTAGGACCACGTATTAGTTGTTTTGGTAGTGTTTAAATATTCGTTCAAAGTGTAATTTAATCATATGGGATGAATGTACGATGGCCCATCGAAAAGGAGTAGAAGTAGAAGCGGTAGACAGAACTTTAAGGGATATAAGACAAAATGATCGACCAATCGGCGGTATCACAGTTTTATTTTGTGGTGATTTCCGACAAACCTTACCGGTAATACCACGGGGAACCCGAGCTGATGAGGTTAAGGCTTGCCTGAAGAGCTCTATAAACATGCGAGTGAGAACTGTAGATAACCCGGATGATCGTGAATTTTCTGATATATTATTAAAGAAAATACCTTCACCAAAGATACCTATCCACTGCTACACCAAGGAAAACTTATTCTGACGCCTGAGTTATGTTGTATAGTGCAACCCCAACAACATCTTATTCGTCAGTATACGGTGACGTAACAAATATATTAAATAAGCACAATTCTTGGCTATGCGAAAGGTCCATTTTAACTCCTCGCAATGACCGGGCATCTGAGATTAATAATAAAATACTGTCGAATATCCAGGGGGAAAGCAAAGTTTATAGTTCAATAAATAGAATGGCCGATGAACAAGAAGCCACTAATTACCCGATAGAATTTTTAAATTCTTTAAATATGCCCGGACTTCCTTCTCATGAAATTTGTTTAAAAATTGGCATTCCAATTATTCTGCTCTTAAATTTAAGACCACCACAACTTTGCAATGGAACTCGGCTTAAAGTAACCCAGTTGCAACAAAATGTAATCGAGGCTCAAATTTTAACAGGTTGCGGTGCAGGAGAAACCATCTTTATTCCCAGAATTCCCATAATACCAAATAATTTTCCATTCCAATTTAAAAGAACGCAATTCCCAGTATCGGTGTGTTATGCAATGACAATAAATAAGGCTCAAGGGCAGACTATTGGTGTTGCCGGAGTAGATCTCGGTGTCAGTTGTTTTTCACATGGTCAGTTATGTCGCTCTTTCCCGGGTTAGCAGTCCTAGAAATCTTTATGTTCACGTGCCGGACGGGTCAACTTTCAACGTAGTTTACCCGGAAGCTTTGCGCTGAAGTATTTTCATTCTATATGTACTTAAGCCTCATGTGAAAGTGATCTAAACAATATTACCAATACATTAACATAATAACATACAAGGAGTTACACGCTGATGGTCTCGGGGCACAGTGATAATAATAATATTCTGCGGTTCCTTATTGCGATTTTTTTAACAGTATTGTGGATTGACATATTATATTTCCCTACTAAAATACGAAAGTTAGTCTGTCTGTCACATCAAAACCACGGGACCCTGAGGAAGGACATATGCTACTTTTTTACGAAAAACGACGAAAACGCGGACGAAGTCGCGGGCAAAAGCTAGTTGTGAATAAATTTGTTATCTCTGGGAAAATTTATTCGATGAATTACCAATATCCCGTCAATTAAGTAATTTTAATCAAATCACTTGTTTAATTTACAATTCTTATTCCTTCCACAAACGGACAAGAATTTTGGCCTAATCAATGTCTTAAATGCATAATTGAGTCACGGCTACGAGCGGCGCGCGGCTTGAGCAGGAATTAGGACTTTTTTTATTATATTTACCTCTTTTCTTAAGTTCACATTAATTCATAGATTTGTAACGACAGATATCATTAAATTTGCTCCTATTGCCTGCATTCTCTACATAGGACCAAGTCACGTTCCATACATCACGCACATTAGATGACTTGTGACGTTTCTGGTCCGCTCGTTGACGTTTTAACGGGCCGTCGAGTCGAGTCGCGTACGGTTCGTCATATCGTATCATATCTGCGCCGGCGCCGACGAGACAATGGCCTGAGGTGTAGCAACCTCGCACTGGCATTTCGGATGGTATCCTTGATATTTGGATGCGCGGTATTTGGAACGAGGCGGTGTAGGATACGGAACGGAACAACATGGGACGGAAAGTGCACGCGTGCTACGGGCGAATAGGAATGCGGGATGTATTAGTTTAGAAACTTGATTTTGGGCTTCATATCTAAATAAAAAAAAATGCTGAATTGAAAGATAATTAACGAATCACATATTTTTCAGTGTTAGCTGTAGGTAATTGGTATAATTAAGAAGGTTTTTCTAATCACCCATTATTCTAATCTATAACTTAAATTACCTGGTTTTGATAGTTTTGGAAGACTTACTAACTTCCGATGTGAAAACGAGAAAATCGTAGTTTTATAATAAGTAGTAGTATAGAATACTCTGACATAATGTTTGTGGTTGAAGGCAACAATTCACGTAACACCTCTGGCGCTAAGCCACCATTTATAATTGTCGAATCGTGTACTTGGCACCTTTATAACATGAAATATAACTAACAATTCAAATTTCCAGATGACCCGTACTACTGTGGATTACGGGCTCGCGTGCCGAACTTCGTGAAGGCGAACGGGGCGAAGCACGTCCTGCCGGCGATGACTGAGCGTCTGACATTGAAAGAGTCCCCGGTGCCGGTGCCCAGTAAGCGGTACAGCGTGGCGCACGCGCACCCGGGCCCCTTCCCCCCGCACATGGCTCCCTACGCCCACGCGCCCATGCCGCCCGCCGCTTTGTGGCACGCGCGCTCCTACGAGAGCGGAATCGGTGCGTACAACCCACCCCCCAGAAAGGAAAAGCTCATGTACCAATTCTATCCTAACAGGGACGCCCGCCTCCGACCCATCGTCATCCAGCAGCCGCGCTAGGTGTACATAAACAACTTTAACCGCCCACAATATATTACACCGCCCCAACGCGGAACCTCCGCTCCAATCTAACTTGGTATTTAAACATTTTCCGTTTATTTTCCAGCTTCGCTTGGTAGCACATCCCGCCTGTAGCTTCGAATGTTACTTACCTTCACTATTTTCACTGTATCTACTGTGTTCTCCACTATTTCTTTCTAATTTCATGCTAAGTCTTCTCTCAGTCATACCTGTAAGATCTTTACATTTGAGCATCGCTAGCTTTGCTTTTGACTGGTAGAATCACAGAATATTTTCTAATTCAAATAGTTTTTTTGGCTGTTTTAGATAGCCTGTTTTCTCTCTTCTGTTTCTATACTAATTCTAACAGACACTTAAGACTGTTTCGTTGTTGGATGACAAATTCAGGGAAATTGAATACTTTTTCCCGATGATAGCTTAAACAAAACATTGAGAACAAAACTCCTATTCTCAACATTTTTTTTATTAATAAGTCACTTTGAAATGGCAGAATTATTTATCCCATTCATGAAGCTATTAACCTTATTTCTCTGTGACAATCTTCGTGGTATTCATAATTAACATCGTTATCAGTATCCATAGCATTGCACGTTGCTTTTTTTGGGACTATTTAATCGATATCGGTGGTACAGAAACTATTTTGTTCGAAATTCATGGGCGGGTGAGAAGTTCTGCCGTTTCGTTTGGCAAGACCAGCAAGGCACTTAATGCTCGCGTAATTGCAGATGGAGAACACTATGACCCATACGCGCTATACGGGCGGCTACCGATGCCCGGGCGCGGCTTCCCTCCACCCCCGGCACCTAACGCTCGCCACATGTTCATCGGAGAATGGGACTAAACGCCTCGACACTTGCACTGGATTGCGATCAAAGTCCCTTGAATCCTTGAATACCGTTACATCGATATCGCATTAGAGCTTACTATCTATTGTACATAGAAGTTTTAGCTGACTAATGTTTAACAGTTTAGGCTTTGATGCTGTTTACCTTGTTGACGTTTTTGTCATCAGTCACAAAAATTACATTCCAATCTTTGTGATGATGGAAATTAATTTTAACGAAATTTTTAAATAACGAAAGCTCTAATCTTATACTACGTTACCAGTAGTGTGTTGTATTATTTGAACATTCAATATTGCTGTAACTGTATTCACTACTTAAATTAAAGTGTCCTGAAGAACATGTAAATATTTTTCACTTTTTTATGTAAGCTATGCTGAAATCGAATCGTTTCGGTCTTTCGCTTGCAAAGTTGTTATTTTGCGATAGTAGGACTTAGCTATTTGCAATTTTCAAACAATTTAAAACTAACAATTTTGTCAAGTGAATTTTAATCGAAAATAATGTATATTTCCGAATTTAGTGCTTGAAGATTTGTATCGGACATATTACGTAAGGAATGTGAAATTTTCAGAATAAAGTTGAAGTAATGCTTTGTTTAAAAATTTTAAGAGTACATAGTTATAATTTTTTAATAATATGATATTTTATTAAAATAATCACTGCCACATACATTCACGATATCAGTGTGTTCAACTCGATTACGTGTCTTTTTTATTATTAATGTTTTTTTATTATTATTATTTTAAGGTGTCAATCCTAGTCAAAACAGGGTTGGGAATACGATCAATCATTAGGTGTTATTTAAATTATATGACGACGTTGATACAATATCTCACACAAGATAGATCTTGCGAAATCTAGACACAGTAACCTGAATTTTGTTTATAATTGAAAAATACGAAACATGATAAAGATCTAAATAATAAATAAATTATTATTTTGTCGAATCAAAAAGATGTTTAAAACGCTCGCACATGTAGATAATTCTAATAATGCAAGTCGGTACCTACCAAGAAAATTTTCTGACTTCGGATCCTACAATGCCAACGCCTGTAAAAGCTATTTCAAGGTTTTATCGTGTGTTACTTTATTGTAAACATGACTTGAAATTGTTCTAAAATCTATCGTACTCTTTAAGGTCGTGTTTTGCTGTTTTTGAGTCTTTTTCACTTGCAAACATAAATATAAAATACTAAATTAATTATCTCTTGTGACATAAAAAGATTCATGTATGGTACCTACATAGTTTTATTTTTATTTTCACATATTATCGATTGTATTATTATGAGTAATCATCTTTTGTAAATAGCTCATGAAATTAGGTTAGATTTAAATCTAGATAATGTTTATTATAATAATACAATTATGTCACAAGTATATAATTTTGTACTTATAAATATCGAATCTGATTCGATGGTTTTTAAGTACGTTAGTGTTAAAAATTACATGTGTAAATATTTTATGTAGAATAGGTTTCATTTACAAGTAAATATTGTGTTGAATTGCCTAATTTACAAGATCCTTCAATACTCAATGAAATAATTTTAATTACTTATTATTTAGTTTATGTTTTAATTGATTAACGTAACAATCAATTGATATTTGTAATTTATTAAATCATTGTTTTCGAAAAAAAATGTAAATTTTATAGACACGCCTAATGCTAAGAATAATATTCATTTTAGTACTTAGATGGCTTCATACTTTTGTGGACTTATTTTAATATTTTTGTACATGTTTCTTTCTTTTTCAAAATTTTTGTTTCGGAGGTGCTATGCATGTTACCATATTTAGACAGTATATTACATTAGTTGTATAAATATTAATATTAGATTTATATAATATTCTTGCTAAATATATTTCAATCAATACCTACTATTTTCTTCATATGCCTATTATTAACGAAGATCAAAATATTTTTTTCCCGCATACAAGATGTAAAATGTTTAGCGATCATAAATTTTAAAGTTCTTTGCAAAACATGTAAAGTTTTTTTTTATAAAGAATTTACTATTTAGCTAGATGTATAATATAATTATCAACATCCAAAATGTATCATGTATCGCAGGGTGTTGGTCGAGTAACCTATTTTAAGGAAACATGTGTATGAGTAAATATAAAATTATTTTTAATAGACAATACTTTTTTTACCCTTTGCTATTTTTCTCACTACATTCTACGAAGAAAAACTTAAGTACACATTTGATGTAGGCAAGAAAATTGTTAAACTTCTCATTGTTTTTTATACTCTCCTTCACCAATCCATCTCTTTATTAGATATTTTATATAGTTTCTTGCTTCTTTAAGCTCTTCTGGGTCATTATCTCTATCAGAAAACAAATCTCTACAGTGAGATGCCTGACTAATTCTTTTAGCTGGAGCCTCGTACGAGACATCTTCTAAAATGCCAAGTTTACTCCAAGGATCCATATTGCCATTAACAAAGACAACATTAGTAACATTTGGCTTTAAACCGCCATAAAAATTATTACTTTCTTCGACACCCCTTTTAACTCTCATTTCATCAAAGTTAGAACCAAATAATTTAGTACACATATTGTAATATAGTTCAATGGGAATATTTTTCGTAAAAGGTTGCTTATCTGAAGAGCTGGTTTGAAAATAACTGAATTCTGTGCAAGTTTGATATATCCACGCAGTTAACCAATCAATATTTTTCATACTCGTAATCATATCGTCAAATTCATAGGAGTTACACTCACTTTTCTCGTTCCAAGTCAGGCTGGGCTCTTCCATTTTCCTTAAATTGGATGTAAAATTACTGTCACAAAAGTTTTTTACGGCACGAGGATTGCCATATTGCGAAATATACATAAATTGAGAAGCTTTTTCCATGAAATATAGTTGTTTGTTCAGCGGTTTCGTCATATCACAACTATCACAAATGTTTTCCTTTTTCTTTAGTAACTTAACGCCATCGTTAGTTTTAAAAGCATTTTCATAATCAGCAAAAGTTTTCGCTATTTTATTCCAACAACCTGGAGAACCATATTGTTCAAAATCCTCACTAACCGTTTCGAGATATTCATAAAAGTCTAATTTTGCTAATACTGGGGCACTGCTAGCTATTGCAGCGTCAACGAAATTAGGGTAAAGCATTTTCATCCATGCAGCTAGGTTACCCGAGTAAGAACCACCTACGACAACTACCTTAGATTTCTCAAACTTAGATGACGATTTGATTGTTTTCAATAGATGAGCGAAGTCTGCTAAAGCTTGCCTGGAACTGAGAAATTCCAAATTATCCGGCGTGAAATCTGCAAATGGTTTACTTTTTCCGTAGTATCTATGTTCACTTATAAAAAGAGCTCCATTAGTTTCTTGTGCCAGTTCGTACATTAGTCCTGTCTTCAGAAAAATTGGGCTAGCTGGACCCTCACCTCCGAGGAATAGATACACTGGTTTATCCGGTTTCCATAAGTCATGTCTTTCGAAATACCGCATCATCCATGTTCTGTTATCATGAGCATCGAAGTGATTCAAAGGTTGTTCTAACCAACTTGTCTGAATCGCTGGTGAATCAAACACAGCCATAGTCTCGTTTAACTCTTTGGCAAGGTATTCGAATTCATTTCCAAAACTGTGGAAATTCAGACCATTTACAATGGTGAAAAGGCTATTTATAAGCACACCAATAACAAACAGGTGTCGGTACATCGTGCTTGTTAACCGAATATTCGTAACTATTTGGAAATGATTCAAAGATAAGTAAATATTTAAAGGTCTGTTATCTATTACGTAGGTACTTGCTTTCATACTAGGCTCCTTACACATTAGGAATGTAATGAAGACAAAGAATTTCAATTTAAAGTTGAATTTTCTGTTGATAAACTTCCTCTTATATGCTAGACTTAGATCGAAAATAGAATATGCCATGCCAGTTGCAAGCTTTACTACCTAAGTAGAATTGAAATAAATGTTTATTTGTTTAATAAACATTTACCATTTCATCAAAAGAGGCGTGGAGAAGCAATGTGCAGGCCGGCAATATGAAGATCGTTGGTTGGCTGCTGTGGCAGGTCACGCTGCTATACCAGCTATCTTCGCGTCTAGATTCCACCTTCACATTTCATCAGGTGGGGTGGACTCATTTGTCGGACCTATTTATATGTAAAAAATACAACTGTTTTACTTTAACAGTTTTTTTACAGTGTAATACAAACTTTGTGGCGATTGTGAAGTTTAGTTAGCAGCAGCCAGTGGCAATTCCGTAACACCCCTAGTACTCCCAAATAATATTTCATTCACTGCACCACGACTTGCGCTAACTTCGCTCGATCACCATTACTTATGTGATGCATTAATATCATAGGATGATTTGATAAATCGAATTTCAGCGAAAATCCTAGGGATTTTGCGAATTAGATAATTAGATAATGGCGATGACATTGCTCAATCATGTTTTAACAATTTTTTTTCTGGCACTGCTGCGCAGCACGCTCGCTACGCTCGCTCGACTCGCACGCCATGACCACGACACTAACCTAACCTAATAAGAACCCAAATACCCAGGAATATCTATAATAAGCCCACAATTCTTTTCGCGATCTTACGATGAAGAATCGTGGGCTTATTCACAAAAATCCTCTTTTTCGTCATCGTTCGCAAATATCCTCTTTTTCCAGTAATATTGAGAACATATATATATATATAAACCAACTGTATGTATATATATAATTTTAAATCTTCACAAAACCAAGTTAGGTAATAAAAAACCAGTGTAGAAAGGGCTTACTAGCTTAAACGAAATAATTTACATTACAAAGTAGAATCAAATGCGGGCTTGTGATCACTCATACGAAGACTAATGGTATCCAGGTATGTTATGTACATAAAATTTATTATATTATTATTTTAAGCATTTAACTGCTACACGTTAGACGTTAAAATAAAATTTAATGTATTAGAAAAAATTCCACGCGGTCCAGGAATATTTTCTAGTAAAACAGTTGCTCCGTCTGCTGCCGGAACGTGTGCAATTTTTTCTTTAATTTTGCCCATTTATCACAATAAAGCCCACCTGCATTTTACAATAGGTAACTTTGTCCTAAAACAGATACAGCTCTAACTTACAAAATAATATCTGAATAAAGTTCAACAAATTAAACGTTCGCTAAGTAAATATGTAAATAGAGGTAATTCGATGGCGCAAGTGGTTGACGATTTCATTCTGCGATCGTGAAGTTAAACAACTTTCGCAATTAGGCGATATTTTTTCAATCCGGAGGAAACTAATCTGTTGCATATGTCGAATGATATCACAAAGGTTCAGATAGTGGTCAAAATAGCGTCATGTTACTTCTTGATTAGTCAAGGGCATTTGATTATTTACATCCGGAGCTACTTGTTGCTAAATTGCAATATTATGGTTTCTCTGCTGACGCTCTACAGTGGGTCAGGTCTATTTAAACCGATAGAGAACAAATGGTAATTGTGGATGCACAAACGGTGAAAAGCAAATATGTTCTAATTATAAATTACAGCGTGGTGTTCCACACGGCTCGATTTTAAGCCCGCTATTGTACTCAACATTTACGGCGGATGTCCCGGCACATATAGAGACTATCTTGTAAGTATCATCTTTATGCCGATGGTACACAAATTTATCATTCATTTCAAAGAGGAGATACGAATGATGCCATTGAAAGCATCAACAACGATCTGTTGGGATTGGGAGTGTTCACGACAGGTCAACTTATTACTATATCCAGAGAAGTCTCAAGTAATTGTCTTGGGAACCAAAAGGCTATAATAAAGTTATAAAATTGAACAATACGGTAATGGTTTTTGTAACAAATGCGCGTTATCTGGGTATAATACTGTACAAGGAACAAAAATGTCTACATCACGGCAATGGCAAAATTAAAGGAGCCTTCTTTAAATTTAAAGCGCTTTATAAACTCAGGCGATACTTTACTGAAGAACTAAGGCCCGTATTATAGAAAGATTCTCAGTTATTGATCTAGTCTTGAGCATAGTTAGAAAGAGATGTCGCTATATATAGCACATAGGGACATCTCTTTCTAACTGTACTCAAGTAAAGATCAACACTTAGTTGTCATTCTGTAATACGGGCCTAAGAGTCATTAGTGTTGTCTCTTTCTCTTCAACTACTGCAGCTCCGTCTACCACACCGTCTACGGACAACGGCTGAATGCGAACACAGAGAGGGCTATACAACGAGTACAAAATGCCAGTGTGCCATTCTGTTTTAAAATTTCAAAGCGTGTTGATTTTACACCGTAATAAAAACAACATCCTGAACATGAAAGCGCGCCGGGAGCTCCATTACGCATGCCTAATACAATGTAAGTAGTTTGAAAAAAAGATCCAGTATACTTGTTCGAAAAAATGATTTTCTTCAGGGATCTGCCACACAAAATCTGCTGAAGGCTTCAGCTCACAAATCTGCACGATATAGGGGATGTTTCAGGTTCAATGAAGCAAGGATTTGGAATAACCTACCTACACCCCTACGCAGTAAAATGAATACATCAAAATTTAAAAAAAAAACTACAAAGCAGCTTTATTTCACAAACAACTTGCTGCGGAAAACCTGAGGCATCCTTATCCATCTTATCATAGTCACTTACCACTGTTTTTTGTTTTGACTAGGACCCATGAAGTGACGCATGGACGGTGCCAGTAGGGCGACTTACATTTATAAGAAATAGGAGTACATGTTTAAGCACGAAATATGTTCCAACGTGAATACTACCTTCTCATAGACAATTCGCGGCTCTCTGTATTATTAATTATTTAAAACTAGTTAAGGGGTGGCTGAAAAACAGAAACAATAAAACAGCATTTCAGGTATAGGCTTGACCAACATTGGCTGAGCCATTCCCTTTTGTCTTATTTTTAATGTTTATTGAAATGTCTGTTAGCATTTAAAAATTGAATAAATTGTTATATCAGAAAGGCTCGGTTAGTTAAGCCGTTGGTCTCGACTTCATCTTCAGTCGTTAACAGTCAATAAACCGCACTGTGCCCGCGTGCTGTGTCATTTTCTGCTTTTTTATAGATAGGTCCGACAAACGACTACATCCCACCTGAAGTTAAGTAACGGTGAAGTCCAGACAAGATGATAGCTGGTACAGCAGTTCTACCTGCCACTCCAGCCATCATTCTAACTCAATGAATAAGTATAACTCCAATTGTTGGTCACCTACCTAGTTTCCTGTAGATACTCTATATAGATAGGTAATAAATGGTGTTGTCGATTCTCCATATCTTTTGAATAAAATTTTGCTAAAATGTCCAAGAGCAAATCTACAAGCACGTGATACGATTTGCATTCCGGCGGGTCGAACTAATTATGCAAGTATGATTATGCTTCGTATAGAATAAGCTCTTAAATTTAGTATTATTCACAAGGGCAGTGTATTTTAAAATATGGCGCCCCCAGAATTACTAAATCAAATAAAAATATAGGCTAGTACGAATACCTTCATAATATTTCTGCCTCCACTCGCAGCCTGCCGCCCTGGGCCATGGTTATCTTGGCCCTAGGGAAATACGCCCCTGAATATGCACATAGAAATATAGAGGTGAGTCACAATATATAATAATATTTAGTAACTCTATGCCGCAGGTGGTTAGGGCATTCGGCCTGCGATCATCAAAGTTAAACAACTTTCCTAATGGTCGTTCATTGGATGGATGATCAAAAACTTCCCTATTGTCTCGAGCTCCTCCGCTTCCGAAGGCACGTGAAATCGTTGGTTCCGGGCACTGCATCTGCAGTCTTTAGCACCCACCAATCTGCACTAGGCCCACTTGGTGGGTCAGGGCCCAGGCTCATTCCGTACACCCCTATGTACCTGCAGTGAGGACATTAATAATAATAAAAAATAATAATGTTAAATAATATAATAACTGTAAAAAAATTATATTTAGAAATATAATTTTGTATGTATATTTAATGAAATAAAGGAAATAATAATAATAACGAAATAGGTTCTCATCACAACATAACATAACACAACACAACACAACACATGCTGCACTTACTTGGTTTCGGCCCGTAATTGTAGTAAAAACCAGCCAAAGAGCTGAGAAAAAAAACACTATACAAATAATAATAATGTTTTATTTCAGATACTAGATCCATAGAAATGTTACTAACAATCAAACCTTAATAGTTATTAATTGACAACTTGCGCGTTGCGCCTGAAAATTGTTAACATGGTCATTCCATTTCAATTACCTTTCAATAAAACCACGGTGACCACGGACGAAGGATTCCGCTATAGAACACAGACCCTTTTGTTGCTGGGGCCGACGTCGCGTTGCCATGGCGACAAATAATCAACATAAAAGTCGGGCGCGTATTAACGTCCAACAACTCGCGAATGACCCGCATAAGGCGATAAGTATTCCTGCTCAATTATGGATTTTTCCGAGGACAGTGTGCTAGGCAGGCAGAGTGCGGCGAGGCGGCCGGACGCGCCGCGACCACTGTCTAGGAGGGGGTTTCAGGACTATACTGGCACCGCCTCGGCTGTATCCAGGTAAACAAAAGTAGCCGTAGTTATTAGTGATTATGTAATTGGTTAGTGATAATTTTCTTTCTTAAGTCTCATTAAGATAGTAAGATAGAATATTTACCTACTTATTCTTTTGCAGCGATCAGTAGTTTGGCTAGTTTCTGGAGTCATTTTTATTATTATTATAATACTAGCGGACGCCAGCGAATTTAGTTTTTTTAGAAACCCTTATGACACTTACATTTTTGCGCGATAATAAGTATCCATGTCTCAATCCAGAAAATAAACTATATGTGTGCCTTATTTCATCCAAATCCGTTCGGCTGTTTTTGCGTGATTGAGTAACTACAAACATTTGCAGTCAGTGCATTCGCCTGGATAGCAAAGGGTGAGGGTTCGAGTCCCGTCTGCTGCCTGGTCCGCGTGGATTTTTTTCTAACAAACTTTTCTTTAGATTTAAAACTCTAGCAGTTAAATGCTTAAAAATAAAAAACATAACATCAAACATTTGAATTATTTTCCAAAATTTTGGTGTAGTCATTTCTAGAACTGTCTTCAATTCCCACTCAAAAAGTTCTAATATATGGGCCGGAAAGTAGGTTTAAAGTTTTTCTACCAGATTAGAATTTGCATAATGGATTATGTATACATTATCACTATTCACTTTCCTTTCTATATCTATCTGGAGATGTTAACAAATTATTTAGTGCTTTCTACATTATAAATGACAATTGCATAACCCACATCGGTGGCTAGTGGAGAGTAAGTGATAAGATAGTTTAAGAATTCTTATATCGATAGGAGTGCAGTCATGAGACCGACATCAGCCTACCGGCCTGCAGGCGGAACTGCCTCCAGGATGTCCACAGCTGGGTTTGGGCCAGCACCGCCCACTGCCAGCAGACAGCCAGCTATGACAGGATTTTCTATGGTACCTAAATACACTGCTACGTATATTTTTTCATTGATAAACGTTGGTTAAATCAGCTTTGCCTATAATCACAAAAGTTTAGCTAACTCGGTCGAATCGATAGCAGGGTAATTTTACTTCTCTAAGTGCGCTAAATAAAGCAAATTATACTTTACTTAGCTTCGCCTATAAATCTGCCTTATCTAACAGCCATTGGTTTTTTCTTGTTTCTTTACCCTTAGAACAAATTATTAAGTTCCTTATCTGCTTACCAATTTGTATCCAAAGACTGGAAACTAACTTCTCCTCCTTGCGAACAGTTTCTAACAGTAATTTAAAGTGCCATAGTTTTTCGCAACGATACATAATGATGATCGAAAAACTATTAAATTAATTCCAGATAGATCGACCTATAACCCAGCAAGGTATATCAGGTCTACGTACGGGCACCACTAGAGGTTTTCGCACGAGACAATTGCAAGATAAACGGTACTGGGAGGAACTGATGCAAGTCAAAATACGCGAGATGAAAGCAGAAATTGCGCGCCTGAGCGAACAAGCCGACGCCGGTGAAAGGGAGAAATCAGCAAAGAAACATTATGAAAAACGAGTAAGGGAGTTGGCACAGGAACTGACAGGCAAGGGAATAAATTCAATAGCACGATCCAATTTGATGCTCATTTCGAAAGTACTTAGGCTCGATACTGTACACAGAAAATTTTGCACTTACCTTACATTGAATTAACTTTCAATGCTATATCCTACCCTGAGTTACTAAAAAAGCGATATCCATTTAGTAATAACCAAAATATTCGAAATGATTTCTAATTCGTTGAGTCAAAACAGAGTTCCTGTATACAGTGATGCAGCGAAAACCGAAACAAGATTCTAGAATTGCCAGAACTTTATTTTCAACAATATTTTTTACCAGGACTTAGGTATAGGATACATGTGGGAATAAATTTCGTATTTTTTTTTAGATTTACAAGGTCGCCTAGCGGACTACAATACTGCAATAAGAATAGTAAACGGGGAAGCCACCAAGCTATCGGTAGAAGAACAAACGAGAGAACTGGAACTTAGTAACAGAAAATTACAAGAAGAAGTCGAACAAGTATTTTTGGAAAAACAAAGAAAAGAAAACCAATTACGGCAGCTGCGAGAACAAATGGATAAGGTAAAATTAAACTTACTTATTTCTAGACATAACTGAATAAAAGCAACTTATTAGGAAACTAATAATTGGTTTAAATTATTTCAGGAACAATCAACAATAACAAAGTTGCTGACAGAAATGACGCAGGAACAGAAAGATCAATTCAACGAGTTGGAAGCGACTGCCACGACCCTCAGAGAAGAGGTGGAACAAACGAGAGCACAAATAGATCATCTGAACAGAGAGAAGGAAGAATTCAATAAAGAAATATCTGGATCACAGGTATATAATATACCTGCCTACTAATAATATGCATAAAATTGCAAACAAAGTCGTTCTTGTTTTTTTATTTTATTTTGTCATTACTATATTTATGCTGTTACAGATTAAAATGCATTTGTTAGAGTTGCATCGTCGTCTAGCTGCGGCTGAGGAAAAAAGAGACAACATAAAACACGAATTGGACAACCGTTTGGATCCACAGGAAGAAAGAGAAAAGCTATTGCATCAGGTTATAAAATAAAAGAAAAAAATACAATTATCCAAATACGTATACAATATAGTTATAAATAATGGTGGATAGACTAGGTGCTGAATCGTTAACTCTATGAATAGTCATTTATTTTAAATGCATTAGCAGCAGCAGTGACTTTTTATTCTTTATATTGTTTAACATTATTTATATTCGTCAGGTTCGCGAGGACAATTCATCCATCGCTGCTTTAGACAGTAACTCTGCCAATTTGAAGGAACAAATAAAGAAAGTCCAAGAGCTTATTGAACAAGCAGAACAAGTAAGATATTGGTATATGTATTTAAATTGAGCATATCAACTTCAATCATATTAGTTACAATAGGTATCATTTAATAGACGGATAAATATTTTGATTGGCTGTAATCGTTTACTTTATTCTAGGACTTGGAAGAGGGTAATTCTGAACGCCATCAGAAATACAGAGAATTGAAGAAGAGAGAAGAAACTATGGATGCTTTCATGGCCAGTTACGAAGACAACGTTAAGAAAGAGAAGGAAAGAATAGCACAATTGGAAAAAGACATCGTATTCTCTTTGGATCATAGCAGTTCTAATATAGATTTGGATTTGAGCGAGATTGATAGTCTGAAACAGAAAGAAGGCTACACGGGTTATGACGACAGTAAAAAATCTGTTGATTCCCTCACGAAGGACTATGAGAGATTTCTAGCTAATTTAAAAAAGGTAGGACCCATTACATTAATCTACAATTACGGATATGTAAGGTTTTTGCGTAGATAATGTCAGTGTTTAAAGTCACTTGAACACAGATATCTTATTTTAGGCCGAATCCACACGTGAACGACTTGCAACGGAATTACAAACTCTACCGGAGAAGACGAAATTTATGAAAGATGAGCTTGTAACGTTGTCCGATCTAGAACGATTGAGAGATGAAGGTAAATGCAATCTATCTTTTAGCACTAGAAAAGACACACAAAATTCCGTGGATCACACATTCATATTTATTTTATAGGACATTCATATTTTTAAGAGTTTCGGAAAACAGCACGTCTATCTGCAACAAAATACAAAAATTGAAGTCTGTTTTAAACTTTAAACTAGTTTAAAGTCTACATCCAACCATGATAACTGATAACTATCATGGTTGGATGTAAGGTTGTAGTCTTACATATTGAAAATTTTATAAATAAAATATTTGGATTATTTCATACCTATTCTCAATCAGAATCAATAAATACAGTAATAAACATACGACTCAATATCGACTTCACGAAGTATTGAGCCACCAACCACCAAGCATATTTGCATGTTGGAATTCTTACGATTTTATATATATCAATGTCAAAAATTGGAAACATTGGGAGATGTAGTTTTCAGGATTTTCATTGTTTACATGCGATTGATTCTTTTTGAGCGAGTTCAGCATACTTAATAACAAGGAAAATATGTTACTGCGAGGCAAAATCAACTATGTCGCAGCATTACTCCTTGTGATAGGATCTGCTACGAGAACAGTACAGTTCGATGTAGATGATGAAGTTGCTGTAGAGACCGCAGAAGAGCTAGTTCCCGCTATTCCAAATGTAGATGAATCGGAGTCTCTTCTCTCCAATGTTGTTTCCGACGTGAACAAAACTCTGACCAACCTGTACAATCATGTGACATCAGCGAATGTAACGGTTGAGAACAGCACACTATCTGCCAATGAAACAAGAAAACTTGTCAAGTGTAGAGACATTGTGTACGAGCAAAATGAAGAAGTAGAACCCTCAGTTGAGATTATTAATGGAAGCCACTTAGCTAAGTTGTTACAAATAAAGCCAGATATTACTAGTCGAGATACCGAAGCAGATTGTGTTCTTGTATTGTTCTTCGCTAGAGCGTGTCCATTCAGTGCACATGCTGCACCACACTATAACGCATTGGCACGATCTTATCCTAATGTGAAGATGGTAGCTCTAGATGCTTTGAAATACCATGGCATAAATGCACAGTATGGTATTGTCGGTGTACCAACACTAAAAATGTTTCATAATGGGAGGCCTGTTGGAAAATTTAATGGCACTGAATATAATATCCAATCATTTAGCAAATTTGTGCATACTATCACAGGACAGCAACCCCAGGGCTTGCTTGTGACTTCTAAGGATTTCCAAGGACCAGTTTCAAGTACAGTTGAAAAAGAAACAGCTTATTTTCTTGTTCTGTCTTGGCTTTTCATTATAATATGTTCAATATATTATTTTATGTAGTCAAAATGGTGGAGTATGATAGTGGAAATGGTTCAAAATAACTGGAGGGAAACTGAGGCAGAACATGAACATAATGACTAGAATAATTTATTTTTAAGTACAATATTAATGATTTTGTTAAATAAAACACATTTTTTTTATATAATATCCAGGTGAAGAGCAAAAGAAGGCACTAGAAACGGAAATGCAACTTCTAAAAGAAAAACTCGCACCCACCGTGAGCGCCGTTGACGAAGCGTCGCAAAAGCTGAAAAAGTTGCAGGTAATATTTATAGTATATCTAGATATATAGCAAAATTTTCGGTTGTTGTCAATACAAAGTACATCCACTACTTTGTATATAAACATAATTCAACTATAGAAGTAGATAAAAGAACTTAACTAGAAAGAATCAGAGTTTTTGAACATTTTGGAAAGTTTCACAGTATTTTCGTATTATTCGTTGCTGCACTTAATTTATTGAATCACTAGCTTCCGCTCTTTGTTTTATTATAAACACCTAAATACCTTATTACAGCACGGAAGCGGCCCAAAAATATATACTACATATGGTAGATAAGCTCGTCGCTACACACGCACACATTTACAGTTTTCTAACAATCTGACATTAGAATCACGCACAAATTGTTCGTAGCATGAGCTGTTTTCTTTGCGTGGTTTATTTGGATTGCTTTATCTGGACGTGTATATAATCATAGCTTCTGGCCGCGACTTCATTCGCGTAAATTTATTTCTAAAATCCCACAGCAACCTGCAATTTTCCGGAAAAAAAGTACCCTATGTCTAAGTCCAGGTAATATGTGTGCTAAATTACACCCAGATCCGTTCAGCCGTTTTGGGTGATTGAGTAATAAACAACCTACCATAATCTTTTAATATACCTACCATTATCTTTTTTATAAGGTCGATTCCATTCTCAGGAAAGCTTGGATGGAAACGAAATGTACGCCAAACTGAACAGTCTCGAAGAACAAATAGCGCAACTGGAGTCTAGGAAAATTGTTCTGGAGGAAGACATTGCTTCTATAACCCTCAAAGCAGACTACGAACCTCTCAAGAAACAAGCTCTTGAAGAACTAGCGAATTTAAACAAGAAAATCATCGAAGATTTAAACAGCTCTAAACCTTATTAAATTTTATCTAAATAGTTCATATTTCCGAGGCATAGGGTTTATATTAAGTAATGTAAAAGTTAAGGTTCAATATGTTTTGAAATAAAACAAAACAGTATGATAACCCCTTTTATTTATTTACACAAAATAATTTAATATCACAGATATTCAACTACAACTAATTTGCGTACATTGGACTTAGTGACGTAATGAGGTAAAAGATTATAGGTACTATTTACAACAAATTTTGAGATATCTCGCACTACTTAGAACGTGAACCCAGTTCGTTTACAATTTGGTATGTGATCATAAAAATTGCATGAATTTCATTGGCAGATGAGGCTAAAGCATAATCTCGAAGCATTTTACCTTTACGAAAGTATAAGTTACGGTATTTACGAACTATTTTGTGTGAATTTCGTACTTTCGCAACGGTAAAACTCGCGACTTTTTTCGCCACCCGATTTACCTCGAATATTGTTTTGCAACGTTACACGTATTACGCAAAATTTTCAGACTATCAACTTTACACAAGATAATCATTACTTCGTTTTCAGAGCCACGAAAAATGTATGACTACCGCGGCGGAACTTCAGTATATGTAAAATCTGCTACTCCTGTCTTTTTAGGTCTAATCCAAACAATTCTTGTATAAAGTTTTTATTGACTGGCAACCTTATCCTGTTTATCTAAAAGTGCCGAGAGCTCGGAAGGTATATCCCTATTGTTCGCCTTGAAGAGAGCGCAAATATTGCGGATGAACTGCTGTGACGGTGTAATGTCTAATTCTTGCATTCGGTTCCATAAGTTCAAAGCTCCGTGGACATTGTCTTCGCGCTCTGTAAGAGACATAGGAATTATTTGAGATTATATAACATTCAGTTAAGTTACAACAATTCAAGTTTAGTACATCAAATAAATTGGTCCTTCGAGCTGTTCGAGTTGGTAATTGTGGGAGAAAATAAAAAGACTAAATTGATAGCAGTATGACCAGACCATTTTTGCTAAAAACAGTTATGTACCCCATTTTAGTTAGTCAAGCTAGTTTGTTATCCAGATGGTCAAATCGCCCACGCGGTCAATCTGTATAGTCAAACTAGTTTGTTTTCCAGATGGTCAAATCGCTCACGCGGTCAATCTGTGTAGTCAAGCTAGTTTGTTATCCAGATGGTCAAATCGCCCACGCGGACAATCTGTGTAATCAAACTAGTTTGCTTTCCAGATGGTCAAATCGCCCACGCGGTCAATCTGTGTTGTCAAACTAGTTTGTTTTCCAAATAGACATATCGCCCACTTGCTCAAACTGTGTAGTTAAACTAGTTTGTTTTCCAGAGGGTCAAATCGTCCACATGGTCAAACTGGGTAGTCAAATTTATGACTATATTAATTTCGGAAAACAAAGAATAAAATAGTATTCCAACTTACGGTATACACTAAGTATCAAGTTATAAACTTCATCGACGTCAACATGGCGCAGGTCCTTCGAGCATTCCGCTATCGCCTCCAGAGGTTTGATCTTCTTCTCGTCCGCGAACTTTTCGCAACGCCTTAGTAAAGCGTCCGGGTGGAACTTCACTGACGGATCGAGTAGCATCTTACGTAGCGTTTTACTGTAGCCTACGTCTGCCAGAGCGGCTATCAGACTGAGCTGGAATCAAAAATTAAAGCGATATAATCTTATTATATTTTTAAAATTTAATGCATTAAACTGCTAGATGTTTAATACTAAAGAAAAATTTTACTAGAGAAAATTCCACACGGACCAGGCACCAGACGGGTCTCGAACCCGCTCCCTCCGCTATCCGGGCGGATGCACTGACCATTATGCTACCGCGGCCCTATTGGCTGCGTCGAATTCTTTCTAGTATTTCTTAGGCTGCAAAGCAGCGCCATCTCTTCACATTGTAGGTAACCCACAATGACAAACGAATACCTTTACAAGTATTAAACATTTGAAAGAAGAAATAGCAATTGCAGTTGTATTTTATTGTTTAAGCATTTAATTGCTAGATGTATGAATCTAAAGTTAATTTTACTAAAAAAAACTACGCCGACGGAACTCGAAACAGCACCCTCCGCTATTCAGGCGGATGCACTGAACATTATGCTACCGCAGCCCTAATGGCCGTGTCGAATTCTTTCTGGTATTTCTTAGGATAAAATCTTACTATCTATTTTCACGTGTGTGCTAACTAAAGTCGCGTGGTGTCGCGTTTCAAAAGTCTGCTCCGGCCTTAAACCTGGTCACGTTTTAAATTATCTCACTCACCTGAACATCGCCCGGTCCGTGCACCTTCTTGTCCACGTTCAGTATGGTCTGAACGAATTTATTCAATCGCCCATTAGACTTTTCGTTAGCAATGAACTTGTCTTCGGACTTGCCTTCTCCCATCGCAGTAAGTATGCGGCATAGGAGTTCGTGCTTCAATGGCGTCTTATTGTATTTGGTGGAGAGACGAACGAATTCATTCACGGCTTCCTGAATGTTGTCACTACAAAAGAAATTATATATTTTAAGTCTGCTAGTCTGTTCGCATAAAGCGAACATTCTACCAATCAAACAGATCGATCAATCGGTTACTAGGTATTATATTAGTAAAACAAGTAGGAATCTCTATAGATATTTTCATATTTCATAAAGTTTGATTAAAGTTGATGTTGTCACTCTACTTGCAAAATACTACTGTGACAAGTTTTAAATGTACGTCTCTAGAGTGCTTCTACTTTGATTGTTTAAATTTCACAATTTTTTCAGTGGCAAATATGTGATCTTATGAGTACAAGCAGCCACCATATTGTCACAAACGCTCTCGAAACGGAACCACGAAAGTGCTAGAGATCGAATGTACCAGAGCACTGCGGGTCGCGATAGAGGTCGGGTAATTAGCCTTATGCAGTGCGGCGTAAGGGAGAAACTGCAACGACATCTGCACTTGTTTACAAGTTTTGCGCGTTACCTGCGTAGGTATAAGTAGGTACTTTGTACTCGCGGGTGCTTGCTAATCCTCAATTTACAGGTACTTTCTAGAATGGGTCGATCAGCGTATATAAGCGCGATTGGCGCCGCGCAGAGACAGTTGAGTTTCAACAGCGATTTCGGAGCGAATCCATAGGCGATCAAAGTGCAACAAAACTGTTTAAGTGCGATTGTTTAGAGACTTGTATAGTGAAATACAGTGTTTAGTGAGTGTTTTGTAATTAACATTGTGTGGTAATTGTGTGAACTGAGTGGTGAATAAACAACTGTCAAGCGTGAACTGGCATATAATTTCGAACCCCATCGCGACACGTAACAATATGTTATCGCTACTTCTCGTAGCATCTCACTAAACTCACTTCTTCAAATGCACTCGAACTAACAGCCCCAGTATCGCGTTAGTGGGTCCGCAATACCGCAAGCTGACCAGCAGATCGAACAACTGACGGGTCTCTATGTGACTGTAGTTGGTTGATACCGCGTCTAGTAAACTTATACTAAATCTTTCTCAACATCTTAAGGAACACACTTCTTCAAATGCACTCGAACTAGCGGCCCCAGTATCGCGTTAGTGGGCCTGTAATACCGCAAGCTGACCAGAAGATCGAACAACTGACAGGTCTCTATGTGACTGCAGTTGGTTGCGGTCGGGTCTAGTAAACTTATACTAAATATTTCTCAACATCTCACTAAAGTAACTCACTTCTTCAAATGCACTCTAACTAGCGACCCCAGTATCGCGTTAGTGAACCTGCAATACCGCAAGCTGACCAGCAGATCGAACAACTGACGGGTCTCTATGTGACGGCAGTTGGTTGCGGTCAGGTCTAGTAAACTTATACTAAATATTTCTCAACATCTCACTAAAGTAACTCACTTCTTCAAATGTACTCGAACTAGCGGCCCCAGTATCGCGTTAGTGGGCCTGCAATACCGCAAGCTGACCAGCAGATCGAACAACTGACGGGTCTCTATGTGACTGCAGTTGATTGCGGTCGGGTCTAGTAAACTTATACTAAATATTTCTCAACATCTCACTAAAGTAACTCACTTCTTCAAATGCACTCTAACTAGCGACCGAAGTATCGCGTTAGTGAACCTGCAATACCGCAAGCTGACCAGCAGATCGAACAACTGACGGGTCTCTATGTGACTGCAGTTGGTTGATATTGTGTCTAGTAAACTTATACTAAATATTTCTCAACATCTAAATAAAGAAACTCACTTCTTCAAATGCACTCGAACTAGCGGCCCCAGTATCGCGTTAGTGGGCCTGCAATACCGCAAGCTGACCAGCAGATCGAATATCTGACGGGTCTCTATGTGACTGCAGTTGGTTGCTGTCGCATCAAGTAGACGCCAACAGTTCATCGCTATACTATTACCGCCGACTATGCGCCTGGAATTGAAATGATAAATAATAATACAACTTGTTTACCTGTTTATGTATCTATTTCTTAATTAATCATTTCATAAAAAACTGATTTTTTAACGGATTAAACGAACCCGATAAATATTTTAGAAGGTAGCTGGTCAAAAATTAATAAATATTCAGTATTGCAACCATGGACCTTGTAAAAGACGTCAAGAGAAATGAAAGCGTGAATAATTAAAGATATTGTACTATGTTTAACACATATCTACGTAACTTTGCATTTATTTATATTTATAAGCGAACACAAAGTCCTTTATATGAATCATTGATTTTGTGAAGCCTAGTAGCAGGTAAAGTTTTTTTTTCTTGTATTAAATGTGTGAACATCATGTTTTATAAGAAACAAGCTAATATATTTAATCTTACAAGTAATAAATTTTTGTATGTGTATAATGACGCGACCAATTTTTTTATCTTATCTCTTAAAGATTCTTTAACTTTAGGATTATAAATTGAAGGGAGCTACCCTTCTGCAGCACAAAAATAGTTAGAATGTCGGCGGCGTTTCTCCACAATAAAATTCCGTACGACATTACACTATGGAAATAACTAAAGTACAATAATCTGGCCGTATCTACATCCGTTAACGGGCGTATCTTCATAACGGCATATGCTGCAGAGCTAAGTCTATTTGACAATTTATCAATATTTGGTCCCCGTTAAAGATTGGAATGCAAAGTAATCTCTAAGAATACGTGTCTACAAAGCCCATATTCCTATCCTTTACGTTCACACTATTTTTAACCTGTTTTACATTAGGTAATACATAATTCAAACATTTCGGTTTTCCTTCATAAAATAATAAATTATTAACATTGAACCAGTGGACTACCTTAGAGATACAATTGTTCACGTCGTCAATAACTGTTTCTTTGCGTTTGAGTATAAATAAAAAAGTGACGTATCATCCGCGAACAATACTATCTATTGGTTATCTCTTACATAGTAAGGTAAGTCATTGAGACACTCATTGAAACCTTTACCCGTGAAATCAAGAAATTATGGGAGCTCCATGCAAAAGGTTAGTAAATGTTACACCTTTAATATAAATTTGAATTAAATAATTTGTCTTTTATTTCCTCACAAGTTTAGTATAAAGCACTATGTATCCCTCGAAAGAAAGTGCTATCCCCAACTCAGGTGTGTTTTGATACACCTGAGTTGGAAATAGCACTTTCTTGTGACTGATTACCAACGAGGCTTTATTTTGCTACACCCTCGTTGGTAATCGGTCACTTTCTCCCCTCGGTGAACAATGTACTATTGTACGAACCTTTTCTTCGATTGTTCGTTGATCAAATCGATGGCTTGTTTGAACTTCTTCCTGTATATCATTAAAGTGGCGAAGTCTATAACTTTGAATTCGTCTAGGTTGAAGTTTGGCGCGGTCTTGTTCAAGTCTGCCAATGCCAATTCGGCAAGATCCAACTCTCCTAGTTTCACGTGAAGGTCAAATATGGCCGCTTTCATGCCGGCCGATAGGAAAACCTAACACCATAATAGTAATATATAAAAAAATACGCCAACTGCTAATCTTAACGAACAAACTTATTCACTTATTAATAGAGTAAATATCCGTGTAGACACCACTTGACATTAAAATTCCTATGACGCAAATTATGGTGTAATTTAACTTTTTGTGGTTATGAAGTTAGCAACAAGCGCAACTACGCTACAGTACACGTGTGGTCTATATGTTTATGCTGAAATCATACCATTGAAGGCAACGCTGTAGTGATATCTTTAGCATCAAAGAGTCTAGTCTACGGTGCCTAATTACCATCAGGTAGACCATATAAATTTTATATTGGACCATGACGAGGCTTGGCTTCCATTCATACATTCAACTCAACACATAACAAAGATGCAGCGGGGACAGTAAGCGCATGAAAATGTACTTATAAGGACATACATACTAATTCTGGTAAGAGAAAATTCTTCCATTATGTAAAATTCAGGTAAAGATTATCAATATAAGAGGATAATTGGACCTAGCTTCTAAATTCAAGAAAATCATTGGCAAATAGTTGGAAATTTCCATATATAGACAACTCATAGTGAGTTTGGATTTTACTTCAACCCCCCATGCGATTAATAGTTCAATGCCCTTCCGGCGAGTCTATTGAGGTAGGTCTAGCGCCCCAGTACTTTTTTATTTCGACCTATTCATATTGCTTTAAAACACATTATTTTTATTTTTATATGACTATATACATATATGCCACACCTTTAACTTGCAAAATAAAAGCATTGTCGGCGTATTATCAAGACGAATCTCGTCTATTGCAACGGCAGCGCTCCTGCTTACTGCTCCGAAGGTGCTGGGTTCGAATCAAAATCTACCAACATAATCACGTAAAGGGAACGAGCCCTGACAGGCGATGTGGGCTCAATGCGGATTGATGGGTAAACTGAATTTGAACTGGTAAGTTTTATTTTTACTAGTAACTCACATCCTCCTTTTGGCACTTCTCAGCGATTTCCCTGGCAGCTGCCAAGTTGCCATCCCTGCAGTATTGTTGCAGCAGTTTTCTGAGAACGCCTCGAGTGTTCATTCCTTTTGCTTCCAATTCACTGAGATGTGCTTTAAGGGATTCCTCGTTCATGTGTTTCTATCAATAAAAATTTTGATCAAACATCTATGGAAAAAAAACGAGTGTGCTTATGACCACACGACTGAAGTGAAACTTCTTTAGCTACATCTGTATGTATATACATATCCATATATATATATATATATATATATATATATATATATATATCATAATCCCCCACTCAACTCCCGTTCGCCTCGCCCGAACACACTTTTCGACACGCGTAACACATTCGCCAGCTTACCCCCAGTCAAACGTGCGTAAAGAAGTTTCACTTCTAAAATCCTTGTTACGTAGAGTACGTATTGTTCTGCTAAACGAGCGCGAGGAAGAAGTACAATACTCTTGCTAAAATTGAGTAATAATAAGGAAAGTCTGTAAAGGAGCGATAAAAGGTCCCAGAAAAAGTTAGATGATATTGAAGTAGCTGAGGAGCTTATATGTGTGTATATTTTAGAAATAGGGTATTTGACAGTATTAAAAATAAAGTGCCAATTGTTAGCATCTGTGTTTAGAATGAATATTGGCAGGAGATTTTACTATTTTTACAAAAAAATCAAAATTTTACTTAACAATCCACGAAAAAGATAATAGTTTTCTTATCTATTGTCACGTGATCCAAAACGCTTGGGATTGGCGGACCCTAAAATGACGTCACACGCAAGTAAACTTCCGGTTAGAGTGAAATTACATTGTATCGTTTGACGTTTTAATAACAGTCGTTTGACGTCACACACTAGTAAGACGCCATATTGTCCAGAGAAACGTTTTCGCGGCAACTTGAAAATTGAGTTTTTGATTTGGTTATTTTTACTGAAATACACATCAGAATGATGAATATCCACTTTTTAGGGACTCCATAAACATTAGTCAATAACGTGAAATCGTTTTCTAAAACTTATCAAATACCCTATTGAACTAAAATACAGACTACAAAAAAGTTTATAACTTCCAACTTGAACAGCCTTTTTCAAAGTTGTAAAATACGGTAAAATCTCAGAAAATTATTGATATTGAAGAGAACAGTAAACCTAATAAGTTTCAGAACCTCTGAAATAGAAGATAAGGTATAAAGGCAGGAATAAGATCAGTACCCTTAGCACGAACCGATATTGAATTCGTTCCGTTCGCGAGTGCGAATCGTCATCGAAACATTTGTATGGAAACTTGAATAGCGCGACAACGGACTTAACGGGAGTTAAAAATCAGAAAGACGAAGTTCTTGATTTTACGTATCGAGACCGAATTCAACTATTCAAATTCGATAATGGTCCATGCTTAGGGTACAGATGTGCCATGTTCAAGAATATAAAAGATCGAGTCTCACTTCTATACTCTTGAAGACAGCACATCAGGTCTAATTTCTGCTTTTGTATTTTTAAAGATGGCAATTCTCATTCGAACTATATATTTACTGTAGTCTACCTAGTGCTTTGATGATTATATAATCTAGAACTTCTATATTACTTACAGGGTGTGGTACATTAACCCAAATAAATAAATATTTCCAAATTGGTGTAAGACCAATTGCCTAGTCCCAAAGTAAGCACGGTAAAGTTTGTGTTATGGGATACTAGGGTAACGGATAGAATACATATATAAGTATATTTATATAGAAATACATATTAAACATCCATGACTGGAGTACAAATGCTCGTATTCATCGCACAAACATCTGCCCAACCGGGATTCGAACCCGGGACCTCTCGAGTCGGCGACACCATGACACCCGGCGTATAAATCACTCGGCCACAGAGGTTGACAAATTATGGATAACATAGAAATGATCCCAGCTATATTTCTCGGGTAAACCAATGAATATTTAAGAGATAATACTTTATTAGTGCGTTTATGAGTATTATATATTTATTATCATCTATGTTACTTACAGGGTGTGGAACATGCTGAACCAACAATTCCCCTTCATCGACTAGTCTGTCATCGATGATCTCTATGAGGTGATTTCGGATATCATCGAAATGATCCCCGCTATATTTCTCAGGTAAACAGCTCATGCAGTAGTCAGAGGCGCTCGTTGAGATCTTCAAAGACGTGGACTTTATGGCCTGTAGATAAGGTTGAATTTAAATTTAAACATTTTGCAGGCGGTACTGTTTCTTATTTAGCGTATGCATTAGCAATGTAGCGATTTTGCTATTTCCACCACTAATTTCTAGATTCCATTCCAAACACACAATAGGTTAGTTGACTCATGTCAAATTGCACTATATAAATGTTTATTTCTTATAATTTTTGGTATGACGAACCTAAATACATCGATTTCACTTCATAAAATTAGAGGATGGCTGTAGTAATTTAATTTGAAAAAAATTTTTTTAGTCTATGCTTTTTAAACACTAAAAACGCTGTCCACCAGGATTGTGACGTCAATATAATAGCAAAACAACTAAACGTCATTGTCATGTTACTGTGGTTTCTTTCGTCTGACTAAAATATATCTAAAAACTCTTATATCTTGAAGAAAAGTTTCCGTTTATTGGTTTTCTTAACTAAATTAATGCTAGACGCCGGATTTATGAAAGCAGAAACGACAAAACTCTTTGACTTAGCAGGTACATTCATAACCTTAAAAATTGAAACCACCACATTTCTGGAGTTTATAACGATGTGTTTCTTTATTCTCCTATAGTAAAATCATGATAATTACTATATTTATCATGAAATCTATTAGAAATCGTGGTTGTGTAATGTAAATTCAGATATCCTACGTGCTTGCGAGTGTTTGTTTACTATTGTTCCCGTCATACCATAGATAATCTATAGACTAAAATGGCTGACAGCGTTTTTGTATGTCCATGAAAAAACATTTTAAAATTGAAGTTTTGTAGCTTTCTAGGTAAAAAAAATTACAATACATTTTTTTTCGGTCTAATTGAACAATTATTAACCATTTAAAACATATTTCCAAAAAGTGTCAAATAGCCTATTGATATCAAACCTTATATTTTATCCTCCTTATGGCCAGTTTTATTAATAACCTATTCTAAGTAAGACATAATATATTGGCAATAAGAAAAAGACATTTAAAAGCATAGTTACTTAGATATTCAGAACAAGAACTGAAGCATAGAAAGAGTTTAAATTCAACTCCTAAAGTCGACTCATATATATCAGTTATGTTATTGTTAAATATAGACCAAAATAAGGGACAAATTAATGTTGCTATGAACCATACTACGAACAGCGTGCGTACCAATATACAAACGTCAAATTGGATATCTTTGTATGCCTTGTATAATACCTTTGTTACTTTTACGATACCGAATTAAAAAGGGATCTTGTGTCAAGTGCAACCTTCCTAGGCGCCGCTAACACTTTCTGTTTGGGTAGTACTTGGTTAGGAAATCTTTTTGCTAATTTATTGTCTATGGAGGTGTACACTCAAACGTAATAGCATTACTACTGTTTTAGTTCTTGTTCTGAGCTTAGATATTACTGGTAATTGACAAATAATTGACCAACCGTGTTAAAATGAAAAGTTATCTAACTGATGATGAAAACCGCATCAACATACGTTACTTTATTTAAGAGGAGTTATCGGATAAAGAAACTAACGTAGAAATAGATTTGTTGTAACATAAGCCCAAGTAGGGATATTCATTTAATATCGATATATCGAAATTATTCGATATTTACCATACGATATATCGAAAAATATCGATATCACTTTCCGATATTTTATATCGAATACATGAATCGATATATTTTTAAGTGTACACCCCTAAGCCCAAGAGCAGAAACTAGTCTACACTGCGGCGTACGACATCGTCATTGTGAAACGGTGCGGTAAGGCGGCACAATGCGTTGAGATTAAAAAAGCAAATTTGTACCCTTAACACGAACCAATATCGAATTCGTAACGTTAGCGAGTACCAAATGTCATTGTCAAATGTGTACTGATTTTTAGTTCTCGCTACGTACTTTGTGGCGCTGCTGTTCAAGTTTCCATACAAAATTTGACTATTCGAATTCGATATTGGTTCGTGCTATGGGTACTGGTCATAAATTTGGACGTTATGGCAACGCATCGTGCTGCGTTTCCGCACCGTCTCACATTGACGACGCCGTGACGTGAAGATGTGGAGAGGCACTAAGAATGACGATAAAATTAATCCCAATTTCACTAGATCACGCCATAACATAAGAACTTTTCCGATATCAGCCATATTTTTCTAAGTTCTGTAATAGTTTTTAACTTATTGTCCTGCCAAAAAGATGGCCGAAAAACGCTATGTAAACTCCATAAAATATGAAGGCGTCTGAGAGCGCCACCTGTTAGCTATTTCAGAATTTGTCTTTTAGTATGACAGAATTGTAAATTAAACCTTAGTTAAATACAGACGCCAAAATGTATGTAAAATAAATACGAATAAACATAAACAACAAATTAGTGGTATTGACCCAATTTACAACTCTGCGATGACGTGAAATTTCGCAAGTCAAACCTACTAAATAATTATAATGTAGAATTAGTATTATTTTTTGTCATTATTTTATCGTGCGATTCAAAGTAGTTAAGATCTTCTTGCCTGAAACACAGGCCTTCCTTCCTTTCCTAGTTCAGGCTATGTATTTTTCTTTACCTTATGTGTTTTTTCTTAGATCTAAGTCACTTACATGTAAAAAATAATATTGAATAAAAAAATAACATATAGTGCGAAAACTAGTTTATCATAAACGAGATCACTTGCCTTGATGATATGCAGGAATTCCACAAGATTGTTCTTCACCTTCCTATTCTGTATGAGCACGCACAAGAAACGCCCCACCCAATCCTTGTTCTTGTCCGAAGCCTTCAACGACATGTCTTCTAGGATGTAAACGGTAGACTTTATGTCGCTGCTCATTAGGTACCCGTTCATCAAGGGTTTAACCAACTTTTCGGCATCGATTTTCCCCTGGAATAGTTCGCCTAAAAAGCGGGATTCTAATTTATTTATTCGGGGGGGGGGGGGGGGGGGGCTCCCCACATAATATTATATTATGTTAAAGTGGAGTCCAGTCGTCACATTGTAGGTGATTATAATATCAAACTAGATAATTTCACAAGTAACAAACATACGAAAAGGGAATGTATGTTTTTAAGGCTCAAATTACATCGCTCTGCTATACAGACCTTTTTGGAAACAATTCGTAAAAAGCTAATAACCCCTATTACAAGGCAGTAAAATCTAAATTCGTAACATGCATTTTGAAAACTCACATATCTCACTGGCCGCTCTGACTTGGCCCGAACTCAATAAGGTCTCCATCATCGGCGTCAAAACAGTAGACACAGTGAGGCCGGCGTCCAGAAATTTTTTCATCAGATTCTGGGGCGATGTGAAACTGACATAGGGCAGTGTGTAGTTCAATATTGTTTCGTAGTCTATTTGCACGTCCATTGTGATCATTGTCGATAGGGTGCTCATTATACCTGGAGATAGAATAAAAAACTATTGGTTTTTTGTAATAGATAGAGTGATTCAAGAGGAAGGTTCATATGTATAATACATGCATAATATAGTAGAGAAACACTGATAATATTAGAGATTTTTATGTAAGGTCATAAATACACACTTTTTTTGCGGTTTCATTGCAAACGCTGGCTGAACCCTACGAGATAGATAGATCAAAATAATGTACTACAGTATTGTACACCTTAAAAAGGTCTACAAAAAGTCCGCGATGGTATATGTCTATCTATTAGGGATAACCCACAATAACCATTTTTTATCCTATAATTTTTACGAGAAATAATAGATTATTTACGAAGCGATTTTCAGCAATATAACATTCATCCTTTTCCAATTAAGTGTCTTAAATACATTGTGCATTTAATATAGACCAATTTGGCCCTTTAACGCATGTAATTTAAATGAATATTTTCGAAAATATTACAGATTTAAAATGCAGGGACATAGCGGATCCGATGCTACAGGGCGGGGGGCTTGGCGGAGCGTGCCTATTATAATTAGGTATTAGAAGAATGTCATTGTGTATAATACAAACCTGAGAACAAAAACTATAGTCTACACTACAGCTCTACACCGAAGCGAAGCGAGGGCGGGCCACTAGTAAGCAATATACAAAAGTAGTCATATTATTGTCATAATTTATGTATGTACTATGGTTATAGATAGTGAAAATAAGCTTTTTTTCAAATAAAATATCGAAAAAAGAAGTAATAAGTTTACTATGAATAAATTGAAGTACCTACAGTATATTTTGTTTTGCTGGAGCAAGTAATACTGTTGGTCGTTATAGCCGATGAATATCGATATGAACTTTATCAATATTCATTGGCTATAACTCGCTTTAAGTAGTATTTCGCTATATCCGGTACTGTTAAAGGCGGTTAGTTTACTTACCTGTTCATATAGGATTTCGGTCGGGTCGTAATAACCGACACGTCATTTTAAACGATGTCGTTACATTACGCTTTGACTATAATAATAAAGCAATACAATTTGCGCATTATTGTCTACTTGCATCAATAATCTTATATCAAAGTAAGACTTAACCATGCTAATTGTCCAAAGTAGAGGCAGAATAAGGGTATCCTACCTACACACTTTATAAGCCCTTAAATTGTGTCCATTTACAAACGACACCACACACCAACCACAAAGACATCAATTATTTTTAAGTTACATTAAATTTGTTGCTGCCACCATCGTTACGATGCAATATAATAACATCACTTACACCATCATTATTAAATATAATTTGACATCGATGAGTGTGGCTGTTTGATGTGCGAATAATTTATTAAATGCTATACACGAAATTATAAATAACATACAATAACCAACATCGGAGTACATTTTCTAAGTTGTAACATTTTATTTTAGTAATACCTTTCTCTCCATTGCTTTTGCAATTGTGAATCAAAATGGGCCAGAAGTAATGAGGTCTCAGTGGCATGCCCAGTTGTTTTATTCTAGTGAACATGTCCAATGCCAAAGGTACTTTGCCAAGTTGCAGCGCTGCCTCTGCTGCGTTCTGTATCGCTATAGGATTCCTGCCAGAGGACATGAGCTCCTGGGTCACTAGAGCTATGATACTTGACGGCTGAAATGGCAATAGTTAAATTAACACTACTGAATCAGAAAGGGCTATGAATAATAAGGTTCTAAGTGGCATGGCGTTTCGTTCTAGTGCACATGTCAAATGCTGAAGGAACTTTCCCAAATTGCAGTGCAGTCACTGCTGCGTTCTGTATCGCTATAGGATTCCTACCAGAGGACATGAGCTCCTGGGTCACTAGAACTATGCTATTTGACGGCTAAAATTGCACTAGTAAAATTAACACAACTGAATCAGAATGGGCCCGAAATAATAAGGTTCTAAGTAGCATGGCGTTTCATTCTAGTGAACATGTCCAATGCCAAAGGCACTTTCTCAAGTTGCAGGGCAGCATCGTGGCATTCCGTATCGCTATAAGATTCCTGCCAGAGGACATGAGCTACTGTGTCACTAGAGCTATGATACTAGACGGCTAAAATGGCAATAGTTGAATTAACACTACTGAATCAGAATGGGCTAGATATAATAAGGTTCTAAGTGGCATGGCGTTTCATTCTAGAGCACATGTCCAAAGGCATTTTGCCAAGTTGCTGTGCTGCCACTGCTACGTTCTATATCGCTATAGGCTTTCTGCCAGAAGACATGAGCTCCTGTGTCACTAGGGCTTTGATACATGACGACTGAAATAGCAATAGTTAAATTAACTGTACTGAATCATAATGGGTTAGAAATACTGGTTTCTAAGTAGTTTGCCCGGTTATTTCTTTCTAGTGAACATATCCAATGCCAAAGGCACTTTGCCAAGTTACAGCGCAGCCTCTGCGGGGCGTTCTGTATCGCTATAGAATTCCTGCCAGAAGAAATGAGCTCCTGGGTCACTAGAGCTATGATACTCGACGGCTGAAATGGCAATAGTTAAATTAACACTACTGAATCAGAATGGGTCAGAAATATTGGGTTCGAAGAATTATGCCTGGTTCTTCCTTTCTAGTGAACATGTCCAATTCCAGAGCACTTTACTCATGGTAAAGAAGACACAGAGTGTATTAGATAACTATTTGTTCTGGCAATATAAACTTCTAAATATTTCTCACCATCGCAGCTTTTACACAGTCCCTGACTAAACTTCTCCCGTGCAGTCCTTTGTCATCCTTGGGTCCAAAAGAAGGTAATGGTAGACATTTGTATATTTCTAAAGCAACCATTGGATGATTCTGGAACACCAAATACGTAGCTACGCTCTGCATGTACGGCGATATCGAAGGCTTATTAAGGGTTTCAGCTGGTAAGAAGCTGAGGACCTGCAAAATATTCTAGTTTTATGATGGGGTATTGTATAAGAACAAATGAATGTGAATGAAAAAATGTTTTCATGAAATAGAAAAGAGCCCGACAAATGCCGCAATTAGATTTGGTTTTTAGCCCGTATTCAGGTGCACTAAATACATTACTCGAATTCGGCCACCCGAAACAATATTTACATTGGAATACGGGCTGGAAGACGGTGTTGGGTAAACAAAAGGAATCTTGAAGCCCGTATTTGGGTAAAAAAAACCGAATACGGGCGTACTCGACTCCGTTCATTACACTTAGACGTTTACCCGAATTCCAGTTGGTACTCTTATTCCGGATAGTGAACGAATGTAATCGCGCCATAACTTAAACTAGTTTTGAGATTTACTGATTTTTATTATATTAACTTTATCAGTTCTGTTAACAAGTAACATTTAATAAAAATCTTCAAATTCTTGGCTTTCAGCTAAATGCAGTGCCCATACAGAAGTGGAATTAATAATTAAAACTATAACTGACAGTATATAATCGATTAGTTATCCAAGCATGAACTTTGACAGATCCATATTTGTATCACCACTGACAAAGTTTCTTTAACAATGGCAATGCAAATACTTTCCCAATTGTTGTTCGTGGTTGGGGTGTTGAGGCCAAAGGATTAGTTTTTGACAGGTCTATAAAGAGCTATATCGTCATAAATTTTGTATGGAAAAGGCTAGTAGGTTCTTACGTCCGATGGGGGGGAGGGAGAAGGGGTCATTAGTTTTCATAGAAACAATAGCTGCGTTCGGAATTTGCATTGCAGAGGCGACAGATTTTTCGTCACGTGATCACATGATTAATCTGAGCAAATTGCTATTACTGGACAGCCCAACTGTAGATTAATTATTTTTTTTCCCTCCCCTATTAATTAAATTTCTAACCTCATTTTTTGTAATCTACTTTTCTTATCTTGGGAAAGGCAAAGGCTGAGCCATACAGCCATTGCCTTCATTGAAGTTTTTTTGTGAAGTTTTTCTTTATTCTATGAGGCCCAAACCACTTCTTCAATCATAAAATATTTGTCCTAAATAGTCTGTTTCTGATCCATTTCATTCATTACAATGCCATGAATGTCAACAAATAAATCTTTCTCGTCAGACAAAATACTCCGAGCAAACAGATTTACATCAGACTTATCTGAGAGGAGTTACCGAACTCTTCAGATTTACTCTATTTGTATTAAACAAACGATTCAGGCTAAAAAGATTGATCAGACGCAAAATACGAACGCAGCTTTTGACGATGCGATACGTTACGAAGCTGTCAAAAACTCGTACTTGGGTGTCTATTTCCAAATCTATCAAAACACCATTGTCAGATAAATACAACAACATTAGTTGTACAGGCACAAATATCTGCCAGTTAGATAGTTACAATTATGTTGTAAAAGCTTAATACATTGCTAAAAGAAACCTGATTTATGATTCCATATTCCCCACACACTGCTAGAGTTTTGACAATTTCCATTATATGAGTCTCTTCAAACTGCAAGCTGCTTTTCTGTACATTTTTCATTTCCTCCAAAACAAGATCACTTTTCTTGTTCCAAGCAAGAGCACGAACAATAGCTGTGTATGTGTCTATAGATTGATTTATTTTAAGTGATTTCATCACACTTAAAACTTCTTTAATGTTGTTAAGATTTCTAAAAGTAAAAACAAAATATTGTTTCACCAAATTCTATAATTAAGACATAATTTATATACCGCAATGCACCCATAAGTCTGCGTCCGTGAGTCTGCTCTATACCATAGTATAGAGTAACGTATTACTCTTGAGATGTTATCTATTATACCTAATATTTACACTCTTTGTATTTATACTGTATGACACAGCAATCAAAATGTGAATGGATGTTGTATTGGTAGTAACATGACTTTTTTTGTAAATGTTGCTACTTCTGTTAATTGCTGATGAGTTTCTTACGCCCATTCTTCTCATCAGCTTATAGGTGTCCGGAATGGGTGGTAGGTAGGAAATAAAATTTTGGACGATAGAAAAGAACTTTCAATAAGTCAATTTGAATAAATATTTCATTTCATTTCATAACAAAAATGTCCTTAAACCACTTGCGTAAATTTTATATGAACTATCGCACATTACGGGCTGCATTGGAATGCACTAGCAGATTGCTTGCTAGGTTGAGGCACACCTCAGAGTGTGTTAGAAGGCGCAACATTTCAAAAAAGTTCATGATACTTTACATATGTGATTCGTCGAATTACTATATTTTTTTTTCTTTTTCTAATAGGTCTTTGCATTGTGGTGTACGTCCCTTGCGTAATTGAAAAAAAAATACTACCTAATCAAGGTATCATCATCAGGCTGGATTTTAACTTTTCGCTACAATACGGGTAAATGCACTATTCTGTATGCTATCTCCCAACCTGATACTAAGTTTTTTTTACTTTTGTTTAGTAAAATTTTTATTCTAATTGAAACTGAATTTGAATCTTTATTAGTATTTCTAATACTTACCCAGCCTTGGCCTGACATATTATCAAGGAATTGAAAACATCTTCATTAGCAGGCACATTATTTGCCTTCATATTTGATATGACTTCAGTACTTTGATTCAAATCTCCACACTGCAAAATTTTTGAAACTACTTATTTTAGCTTTACAGCAATGGTTTTTGACAAAAAATAAATTATTACAATTAATTTTAAATGAAATAAACTTGGGAGCTCAGAATGTTTTAATAGTAGCAATTTAATAAGAAAGGTTACTTTTCTTCAAAAAATATTTTTGTTGGCCATGTGTAGTGTTATAAAATGAACTACAACTAAGCAGGGTTAGGCGAAAAGCTTAGTGGACCAATGTTAAAGTATGATTAAGAAAGCAGAAAGTGACAATTGGTAATTTTTGGCATCAGAATCTCAGAAGAGTCAGAAACTTTAACAAGGGTTCAAACCGAAAATTTTTGCTTGTTCAAAAAATGCTGTCACTTTCTGCATAACAAGACTCAAATAAAGTTAAAGCACATTCAAAAACAAAATTTAACATTAATAAAATATACATACTTCTGCAAGGGCTCGCAATATCAGCTCATAAGTTGTGGTATTTGGTTTCACTGGTGCCATTTGTGTAATGAAGGCGCTAGCTACAACATTCCTGTTATTGGCAATGTACACCCGCAAAAGTTCATTATAATGTTCAACCTTGAATTCTGTATGAGGTCTGTAAACAATGAGTGTTGCGTAAGAAATTGCTGACTCACACAGATTTTTTACAGAGGCCTAAGCAAAACCTTTGATATTGTAATTCTATTGTCATATTTTGTATGGAAGCAGTGAGTTTGTTCTTACATCCCGTATGGGAGCTGTACCCCTAGCACAAACCATTATCGAATTCGAATAGTTTGCAAACCGAAATGTCAATGTCAAATTTTGTATGGAAACTTGAACAGCAGCAGCACAAAATATGTAACGAGAACTAAAAATCAGTACACATTTGACAATGACATTTCGGACTCGCAAACTATTTGAATTCGATATTGGTTTGTGCTTGGGGTACTACTTAGTTTTCATGGGAACTTGATGAGGTGACTTAAAGCCCCCTTCATTCACACAATCACATATTTTAACAACACTTGTAATTTTTGTTACTCTGACATACTTATTTAAATATTTTAAGCCATTAGTGTGCAATTTAATGTAGGTAAATAGAAATAATGTAGAATAGAAACTTAACAAATGAAAAAAAATTTCTTTAGAACACTTTAAATGAACTTGACATATAAACATTTAAATAACTAATAAATTTAACCATGTTTATAGTTATGACTTTTTGTATGTTCAATTATGATAATAAAATGAAACAAGCTACATTGTTCTTACTTGATTGCTTTGAGAATTTCGTCTAGTAGATTCATTCTAGATGCTGGAGATTCATCAGGCAATAATTCAGTGCAGCATTGTATCAAGAGTATAGATTGCTTTTTTGTAGAGAAGTTAATTTCTTTTATTTTATTCACCACTCTCATTAAATCGTTTTTGTACACTCTATTTTTCTGATGAATATCAGACGAAAGACCAGCGACTAGATTTTCTAAAAGCTCATTTTGTGAAAAATATCTTTTATCAACATCCAATGAAGTATTATTCTCTTTGGTTGAATTAGGCGACACTTTACCAGATGCTTTACTTTCAACATATTTTCTCTGTGTAGATACAGATAAATGCCTGCAATAATACAAACTATAATGGGTAACAATATTGTAAAACATCAAAAAATACTTAAAACTATATTCCTAACCTCTGTAGCTGAATATTACGGCAGTGGCATGCATTGGGATGCATTTGTTTTATAAAGAATTTTTGAGTTCGAAATATTTTTACAGCATTAGACATTTTGAGAGAATATCTTGGAAGAAACATTGTGTAGATTATTAAAATTCGGTTTCTACAAATTAATTTTTATTTACAGAAACCGCAGTCAAAACTTTTCGAATAGGGATGCCTGATCTGTCTGCTTTGATATTTGAGAATATCGATTACATCAGTACGATTAACGACTTATCGGATTCAAAATCGGATTTAATATCAAATTCAGGAAAAAAAATTAACCTATCATAAGTCTATTTTTTTCCCAGATTGAATCGCATACCCAAAGGATCGTATAAAAATCTTTGACATTGAAAATTTATAGCTAACCAAAACCAAAATATTAGCTGAAGGGTTGTAACATTTCTGGTTACCACCGGTACCTCAGGGCCAGTGGCGTAGCATAGGTCACTAGCACCCGGTGCGGATTCCAAATTTGCCGCCCTCTTATTTTTGCAATCCATTATAAAAAAATTGAGGCATGGTAAAAAGAGTACTTTTATTAAATAACACTGACCTAAGAGTGAAATTAACATTTTTTGACATAGAGTAGAAGGTGATATTGTGATAGTCTATCACAATATCACTTAGAAAAATTACAGAGAAAACGTAATACAATAATTCCTAAATAATAGTTATTGAGAAACCTTGCGCTTGCATCACCCATGCATCGAACCTGCATAGGTACCTGGGTATTTGGTAACAACAACAAAAAAATGACGAAAAAAAACTGAAAGAAATTAACTTTTTTTTATATTTTAATTTTTTTTCTCTATCTGCCACCTCCGCAGCGCCGCCCCCGGCAAAGTGCCGCCCGGTGCGGACCGCACCCCCCGCCCCCCCCCCCCATGCTACGCCACTGCTCAGGGCTTTACAAAAGACTCAATTATACCTAATTCCCAGGGCGCCTTATACTGTATTTGTAGGGATTAAATCAAACAACATCAGAGGCAGACAACAAGATCTTTTTATTAAAAAAATAAAAATGCGAAACTACTAGTAAAAATTAAATATTAATTGTAGGTTCTGGTGCACACTTTTCAACATTCTTAATTCTATATTATGACATTTGTAAAACTTTTAAACTATTAAAGTCAAGCTCTGTGTCTATATACAACTGAAAACTCTTTTTTTTTAATTATTTCACTTTTTAAATTTCATTTCAGTTCCCTAAAAAAGGAACTGAAAACTTTATTTATTTTATTATAAAATTATTTCATCTACCCTTTTTACCAAGTGTTACAACTATAACAAAAGAAAAGAAGAAAACTAAACCCTTATTACTCATTTATCATACATAAGACTATAAATCAAAAGATATACATCTTTAACATTTCATTATTTAAACACTATTAGTTAAGTTCCCTGTATATCAGTGGATGCACAGAAAATTAATACCTATTAAGATAAAGAACAAAACACTTAACTGAAGACTCAGGAAACATCAAGCGGTAATTAAATACTGTTTCCTCTAATTGGATTTTCTGTCACAGATGTCCACTGACTGAGCACACTCCCCAACGACAAAGCTTCAAGTTATGTATGATGATATTATACCACTTATTTCTCCAAAAGACATTCCCAACGGGATATAGGTAAAGTACTTAGTCCAAGACCCAAAGTACCGACAGAAAAGAATCTAAAAAGTACAAAACATAACGAATTGGAATATAGACATCGGACACGACAAAACCTAACGAGTTTAAATACGATGGATTTTACCCGTCAATCCGGGGTGAGATATCTTGTAATCTTTTATTAATTATCAATATCAGTCTTGTATGATTTCTTTATTACAATAGCTCCACTATATTACCTTACGTGACAAGCTACACCAGAATTCCTTGTGTACCAAAATGTAAAAAGGAGGTTTCTAGGCAAACACGCGTATTTGTAGCACAATCCATCTAGAGGATTCTTAGCAGTAGGGATAAGCTATGTTACCAAATTAGGAGATTTACTGATGCCGGAAACGACTTTTAAACCACACCCCCAATTAAATACTTCAAGAAAATTTAACGCTGCAGTAACGCACCAAGCGGTTTATAGCAGAACTTAAGACCTGAATCCGCCTCAACCAGCAGCTCCACCTATCCAATATTTGAGGAACTAATGGTGTCAATTGGTATCGCCCATTTTATGTATTTGCTAATTCATATAGTTGTATAAAGCAATTTTATAATTAAATTCTTTTCAATTGAAAAACAGTGATAAAAAATGATGTCAAGTGTTTAAAATAAATCTTTGCACAAAGTTAAAACCTTAAACAAATTAATATTACTTAAGTACCTATCTACGTTTTTGTTAAAAACCTGTTAATATAGTGCGATAAGGATCACAAACTACCCCTCAAGTTCGAGTGGTCTAGAGGCTCCAGACGGAGAGGAGACTCCCCCCGTGGGAGATGCCATTAGCCTGGAATACCTCTAGAGGCACTAGATAATTTTCGACTTGAGGTCCCCTTAGGATCTCGCCGTCCCCAAACCCTCTGACGCTGTTAAGGTCATCTGCAACGAACAGCAAACACACTCAAAAAAAAAAGGATCACAAACTACTAAGGCGATACTAACAAGGATCTTTATGAATGAGATTGACAGACACAGTTTAAGCTCAAGGAGAGTGCTGTTGAATGCTAAATAATGCAAGTACTAGAAAATATCCCATTTTTAGGGAAATTGTATTGATCTACCTACATTTTATTTATCTTGAAATATTTAAGCGTTTATTCCACCTGTCTAAATTCAGACGTTCTAAATCATTCAGTAACTAATTCAGTCAAGTGAAATAGCATTTAGGAAGTTAGGATCCTAATTAGCATCCTAAATCGGAAGAAGTATGACTTCTGACTGACTAAATTATTTAGTATCCTAATCAGAACGCGATTTAGGAAGGTGTAATGGCGTTTAGATGCTTCAGTCGCACCGCAGCTGTCACTGCGTGAAGACATGTTGTGTCTGCGATTATGAATTACGCAAGTGTGCGATGTCGGCGGTAAAAGAAAAAGAAGTTATGAGTAACATAATCCAGTTGAATAAACATATATGCCTTGAAATTAAATTTTGCCTGAAAATTTTTTTTAGATATTTTTGTCGAGTATCAAAAATAAGTGCTTGTATAGGTTTACTTGTACGAAGTGAACGCACTTATAAATTAATGTTTACGCATATTTTATGAAATATTGAATCGATTTTCCAAAATAAATCCATAATCCAAAAAATCGATATTGATGGGCATCCCTACTTTCAAATGTATTGTCGTTATGACATTGACTTTTTTTTTTTGTTGAAGTTCTCCCGTTATAGGGAAGGCAAAGGGAACAATGCCCATACAGCCTGGTCTTTAATTAAATTAATCTTCTTTTTTTTGTACATTAGAATGTCGGTGTGACGCATTCTAATGTTTCTTGGAGTGTTTGGCACGAAATGTATCGAGTTGGCTTTTTCAATAAGCTTCTGTGAGGTAGTCAACACTACAATAAAATTCTCACGTCCACTTGACCGGAATAGCGTATATTTTAATGATTCCACTAATTCTTCAGTTACGCAGACAGTTGTTACACAAAACCACACCAATTTTATTTCACAATATCCACTATGAACGAATTTAAGAATAATTAAAATAAGACGCCAACCGTACTCGATGAAATCCCGAAAATTATTAAACCTCTCGTCTATCTTATGCTGTGTGGTATAATCGTAAGATGGTAAGTTAAGTCCTGCCTGCTTACACTATTCTTGGTTTGGCAATTTTGGCATGGTAGGTTTTAGGCAAGGAATATATCGCTCCTTCAATGCAAAAGGGTCACAATTAAAAAAAATGAGTTTTATACAGAACGGCCAAAAGAAATTTTTAAATACGCTTTTTGGTCATTTTTGTATTCTATTTTGCGATAATATATAGGTACATGTTATGTATCATTAAAATCGGACTTTTATACTGCATTTATGAGTATTAGACAATTTATAAAAAATATGGGTGCGTGTACTTAAGTAGGATTGGCTTTTCTTTTTCGTGACCGAAGCTGAGCTGAGTTGGGTGACTGAGTGTCAACGCTGGGTGGCTGAGTGTCAACGCTGGGTGGCTGAGTGTCAACGCTGGGTGGCTGAGTGTCAACGCTGGGTGGTTGAGTGTCAACTTTGGGTGGTTGAGTGTCAACACTGGGCGCTTGATGTCTACGCTGGGTGGCTAGGTATCAACGCTGAGCGGCTGAGTGTCAATGCTGGGTGGCTGAGTTTCTTATCATTAAACGATTGCGATTTTATAACAAAAGGCCCAGGCTGGGACTGGGATTTTTTTGCGAATATCTTGTGTTCTACATCTAGAGAAAAACTTTGTGTGCTGCTTGATGTGGTACAATCAGAAGATCCATTTGCGGAATCGCTAAATAAGTCGCTCTGTTCAACGACTTTTAGAGGCAAATCATTATTTGGCCATCCTAATACAGACTGCATTTCGTCATCTTCATCATCAAGTAATGAGAAGCTTAGGTTATATTGACTGTCTGGTAAGAAATTTGTATCAAAACTGTAATTAGATAATATGTCTTGTTGAGCATCTTCTGATATAAAATGTTCCTCTGGGCTATCGTGGACGGGAAAGTCTGCATTATTTAAGTTTGATTCTTGGTTTGGAGTAGAAACCATATTCAGGATTTTTCTTGTTTGGCTAATTATTCTGTAAGCAATATATTATAAGCAAAACATAAGCAAAAGTTATGCAAAACATGAGCAATATACATATACCGATAATCAACAATGCCTTTTTTTTATTATTATTGTAAATCCCAACCATATATATATATAAAAAAGCCTATCATAGATAAATAACATGATATTATAATAATCGTTTATGCGCAGATTACAGGTTTATACCATATTCTTAAAAAAAAATTACAACCATAACTAAGAATGCCTTAAGTAAATAAATATCCGATTAGATCATTATATACATCAATGGTGTCGATTCTGGCAGGATTCTCAAAACTTAAAACTAAATTTAAGATCAGTCTGTTCTTTTCATTCTGTATAGAGAACGACAGGGATACACTATTGTCAAGTTTAAGTTTAGCTTTAGAGAATCATGTCAGAATCGACACCAATATATACCTCTGATGTAAGTTTGAAAATACTATCGCGCTATAATGCAAAACATACTATCGCGTTTGCGTTATAAATTACAAAACTCGTTCTTATTAACCCACCACATAGAACAACATAGATACGGCCCGCCGCGCCCGTTTTGCTCTATGGCTCACAATTATCAATCTATCTATAAAATGTGCCTCAACTCATACACTATATTATTATATTATAGTAAAGTTTGCACACTTACAAACATACATACCACCCTTTGATTTCTTAATAAGAAGATAAAGATCGCACCAATCTTCTAGCCCGCTCTGAACAGTGCACAATTCGCGTCGTAGCTCATATTTAAAGGGACGAAGGTTGCGTTTAGGGCTGTACACCTGCGCGAAACCACTTCAGAGCGGACTAGATGTTTGGTGCGATCTCTACCTAGCTTATAAGCACGGATAATAACGACAGATTTACAATAAATCGAGGTACTTAAACTTTTGTAAAACATTTCCTTTGTAAAACACTTTAAAACATTCTCATTTCTAAACATCATCCTAGCAATAAAATTATTAAAAGATTATAATGCATTATTCAATACAAAACGGACGCTTTTTGAAATACGGCAGTTTAATTTTAAGAATCTTAAATTCTTACTTCATTTTTAATGCAAAACAGCCACTTTTCAAAAAAAGGTTTATCTAATAATCTAAAATATACGCTATTGCGGTCTAGTGAACGAGAGAACTTTATTGTACAGTACCCCTAGCACGAACTATTATCGAATTCGAATAGTTTGCAAACTGAAATGTCAATGTCAAATTTTGTTTGGAAACTTGAACAGCAGCGGCACAAAGTACGCAACGAGAACTAAAAATCAGTACACATTTGACAATGACATTCCGGACTCGCAAATGATACGAATTCGTTATTGGTTCATGCTAGGGGTACTGTTGACTACCTCACAGAAGCTTATCGAAAAAACCAACTCGATACATTTCATGCCAAACATTCCAAGAAACATTAGAATGCGTCACACCGACATTCTAATGTAAAAAAAGAAGATAAAGATTTGTATTTATGTATGCAACTGAAGGACTTGTATCCATGGACATAAATAATTAAAAAAAAAGTCATGCCAAGTTGACTTCAAGTTAATCTCTGTAATCTGTGGTCATGTCATGTCAAATGTCATATCGTGGGTGGATGGATGTGGAATTGTGTTTAGTGTTGTGAGTGAATGTAAAAATTAACTTATTTTTAGTTGTCATGTGGTAAGTTCATTTCAATTTGTGTAATTAAAAATATTTTCATGTTGTAGTCGTAACATCGTTGTATTTAGATAAATGATGTAGACTGATAAACGTCATCAATCGGCCGTTAGATGACCGCCATCGCCCAAGCTTGGCGATGAAACCTCGTCTCGGCACCGCCTTTTCGCAGAATTTATAATAGTTTTCTCTGTCAACGATAACATGGCAAGGCTCTTCCCCTAGTATATAATATTATAATCAGATTAGCATGACGTTCGGTGACCTAACCTTACAGGCTACTTGCACATAAAAATTTACAACCAGTTTTGTACACGAACTTGTGGTTCTTTGCCGCCTTCTCACTTGGTGATTCATTATATCAAAACGATGTCAAGTTCCCGTCAGGGGTGCTATTATTTATCTTTTTGGGAATATTTTATTATTACCTATTTATTTTTATTAATTTTTTAGCATTTTGTGCAATCAGAATATGTACATGCTAATTAGATTTTGAAAAAAAAAAACCATTTATGATTAGATGATTTATCGAAATAAATTACATTATGTAGGTACCTACCAGTTTTTATAGTCATTTTAACTTAGTAGTATGCTAGGAAAGCTGAACATTTAAGGTTATTAATTAAATATATAATTAAGTACTTAATTATATATGCCAAGAAACTAAGTATTGTTTTTGATATTACCTTAATATAACTTGGTTAAGATCCACTATAAGTATTCATCATAGTTTCATGCAGAATATTAGTTAAAACAGATTGCTAATCTAAATCCTGATTAAAATATTGTGATACTAAATTGATTTTACTGACCTTTTCTCACTATAGTTTCAGCAATCTATGATATGAAAATCACTGTATCAATTATCATTGAATGCCATGCCAGTGAATGAGAATTTGAAGAAGATTACCAAGTATTTTCATGTTACTTTTAAAACATTAATTTATTGAGACCTTCCTTAAATAGATTCCAAATGTCACAAAAATGTTTAATATCAATCAATTGCTAATTAATGAACTTGGTGCTGTGAAGGTGTAATGTCATTGAACCCATCAACTAATATTTCAATGTTAAAGTTCAAGTGAAAGTTCAAGGTTAAACAGTAAATTATGAGTTTGATACCTGACAACCTTAGAAGAATTAGCTAAGCGTGGATCATTGATAAATAAATAAATGTTTCCAACACACAACAATTAGCCTAGCCCCAAAGTAAGCAGTGTAAGGCTTGTGTTATGGAATACTAGGGTAACGTCTAGAATACATATATTGTATATATACAAGTATATTTATTTAGAAATACATATTAAACATCCATGACTGGAGTACATATGCTTGTATTCATCACATAAACATCTGCCCCCATCAGGATTTGAACTCGGGACCTCTCCAGTCGCTTACACCATGAAACCCAGCATATAAACCACAGTGGCCACGGAGGTCGTCATAAATCAATAATCCATGCTAAACTTTTAATTGATCAAACAATTAAAAATAAAAAAGTATAGACTTAATTATCTGCAGGCTATCATTGGCTATCTATTATCAAAACTTGTAATAGTGGATATTTCTTTTTAAATATAGTGCTTCAATTACAAAAATCTTTATTCTTTTCGTATATACTTTTTTACATAGTTGATTACATTTGATTTTTTCTTTTCCAAATTTTGCTTATGCTCTTCACTTATATAATAATGTTGCAAAACAAGCTATTTTTAGTTTGCTGTGTGTAATAATATCTTGAGTTGCAACTCACCTAAATCAATCAGCATAGTTAGGTAAGTTCTATGATGTGTCTAATTTCTTCTTGTATAGCTGTGCTGTGTCTTAATTTTTTAAAAAGAAAGCTATTCTTTTTAGTTTTTTCCTTTCCCAACTTTTCTAAAGAATAAATACTTTATAGTTCTCCTTAATTTTGAGCTGCACAAGCATTAAGAAAATACTTAAGGTAATCAAACCTAAGTATCAAATTGACATGAAAAATGAGCAGAACAAACTTCAGTAAAAAATTGTTTCAAGGCAAAGGAAGGTTGGTGCAGCATAAAAAATATGCTGCACCAACCTTCCTTTACCTTGTTAGCCAATAAACTTGCAACACTTCAGGAAACAACATCAAAGTTAAATATTGTGGTGTGAATTTTGCCAGAATATAATTATGTTATGGTTGTTGACTACTTGTCCTTGTGATTGTTAAGTTTTTCAATAAATTTATTGGATTATTGGTTTTTCAATATATCTTTTTGTGCAATAACTATCACGTCATTAATAATTTCTGACTTCTCTTTCTAGAGTTCATGGTTGGAATCCCGGTAGGTAGGTACCTAGCATGGACTGTATGGAATGCACCTGCATATATTTGTTTGATGAGCACAAATCTTCATTGTACTGGGAAAACCCAGTAAACTAAGATGAGTTGATAATACAAATCAACTCAGTTTTTCATCTGTGATAATCCATTAATGTATTTTCATGAATCCAAGGTGTTTTGTTATTGATAAATAGAAAAAAATGGGTTTTTGTAGACAAAATCAATTTGTGTTATCAAATTAATTTCGATATTCTGGATTTTAGCAGTCCAGCTATGAAATACTGGTTTCTGAATCATGCTTGTTTATTAATTGTACCTATAAGTATGTATTCTAAAATGTTGGTAATTTTCCGTAGTCCAGGCTGTGCTAGTGAGTCGTCCAACAATTATTATTAGAATTAAAAAATATTTAATAAAGCCCTTTTAACATGTATGTTTATTAAACTCTTATAAATTAATTTCAAACTCTTCATAGGGTTCGTGGTTTACATATTTTACTTTGTTTGTGGAAATAAATTAAGGTCGGAATCAACTATTGTTTCTTGATCCGAAAATGTGCGCTCTTAAATCATAAATTAAATTTCACTGAGCGGTTTTATAGGTATTAGCTACGGCATTCGCGGCAGAGTCTCGTTTGTCAAGCGCGACCGAGCGACGGCATGATTACTGCGGATGGCAACTAAACCAATTCAAAGTGACGCTCAAGTCATAGACCTGAGCGTAGCGATTACTCATTTACGTGCCAAGTTTAGAAATTAAACATTACGTATTGATCAGCACCGTAATACTAATGTCTTATACCTTTTTGTTGTGGTGACATATTTTCAATACTCTTATGTGTATCCTACATCCTACTAATTTCATAAATGTGAAAGTATGTTTGTATGTCTGTTACTCAATCACGCAAAAAACTACTGAACGGATTTGGATGAAGTTTATGACCTGGACTGAGACGTAGAATACTTTTTATCTCTTAAAAATGTTAGAATCCTGTGGTATTCTCCAAAACTAAAGTAAACGCTGACCAATTTTCGGACGTATACATAATAGTAATAAATAATAATGTAGGTATGTACATGAAAACCTTCAATTTTATTTTAAAAACTACTTAATTCGAGCCTATCTCGTGACTTATACAGCTTGGCTACCTACTACCGCATCGGTGGGTGTACGGACGGAAGCCTCGCGTGCGCCAGCGCAGACAGATTACACCGGTCATAGATCAGTGCTGATTCAGAGGGGTAACTCGTAAACGATATGCGTGCTATAAACACTGGAGATTTTGCTTAACAGTTTATATTGTTGTTAATATTAGTAAAAGAAAAGATCGGAACATAATTCGGTTATCGTATTTAAAAAAACAGCGCGCAGATTAACATTTTCGTTGAACTAAGGTTGGTTTGAGTCTTCCATGCTGTATGTATTGGGGAGGAAATAACCGTCAGTTATCCTTTTCCGGCAGATAGTAGATAATGGACACGATATGTAATTAATATTTTAGAAACTCAATTTTGAATCAATATTCTTTGATATTCTATCTATACTTTATCAATTGTGTGCAGTTGTGAATTGTCCAATCATATGATCGTGATAGTAGAGGTCATTTTGTGTGTGAATTGATTTCAATTAGTATTCACTCTGTAGAAAGACACGTGAAATTGTATTGTTTATGTGGGTTTATAATCAATGTTATTTCGAATCGTCATCTGTTTTACAATTTCGATAAAATGTCGTTTTGTAATATCCCTAGTACAAGGGCAAAATCCTTCATTATGTGCAGAATTGCATACGGAATACAAGCTCTTACCTTCACCAATATCGTTTTGAATAAGCCCATAATTATCATGAAACTGCTAAATTCTTCGTTTTATTGTCCGATGCGCACGCTCACATGGAGTTGTTTTTAGTAAATAAAATAAATGTTTTAGTGCTAAAATCTCAAGGAATCGATACTAGTGCCTTCGGTCCGATAGCGGACTGTATCTTATGAATGTGGGATAAGACTGTAGGAGACTATTGTTGGAATTTTTCACAGAATATTATTTTGGGTAAAAATTTCTATACAAGAATTTCTCTTTATGAATATTGCAAACTGAACATACTTTTAGTGTTCCTAATATCAATTTACTGCTTTGTTGTACCCCCATATTGTATGTACCGATATGGTACTTTTATGTAATTTTTTATATCATCATAACGAAAATAATATGTTATCTTGTATGCCGCTGTTTCTCTTATTTTAAGTGACGTTTTTTTTCCCACAGGAACTTTGCTCTTCCCATGAAAAAAACAAACTTTTTCAAGTTTTAATAAGCTCCGTCTGGTGTGTCTTTCATACAAATCCGTTAAACTGTTTTTGCGTGATTGAGTAACAAACATACAAACCTGATTTAAATTAATATATTTTAAAATATGGTGAAAAAAGTCCGTTAATATAAACTAAAAGTAATTGAAGCCAAACGAGGGCGGGTCACAGCCGTCACAGGTGAATTTTAAGTCACTTAATATTTTCAAGTAGATCTAGTGAAACTGGAAAGGGCAATGCCCAAAATAGGCTCAGCGTGGATAAGGTGCTTGTGGTGCTTTGGCACATGATCGAAAACTGGTGTAATTGATCGAATTTAAGTTAGCATCACATCAGGTCAGCGAAAACGGCTAGGAAATTCCTAGCCGAATCTAAGATGACATTTGCAGAAAA